TCACAGCTGTTTGAAACAGTAATGAAATTGAAAGTGGCTTTACCTTCACATTGTCCATAAATATTACATAATTTCGACCTGAATTACCAAAAGACATGGCTCTGTACCACCACAAAGGGGATTATACGATAGCAACAGATGCCCAATTTTGTACCTATGATGTCATTGGTCAAATGTCGGATCATAACGTAAAGCCAGTGACAATAGAAATCCGTAAAGGAAAAAAAAAGAAAAAGAAAAAAAATGGCATCGATTGTTTGAGATATTTCAGCAAGTTTGAGATTGATTCAACGTGGCAGTGCTTATACTGTGAGTCACTGTCCATTCATGTTTCACTTGGAACATGTTGTGTAGTTAGGGAAAAATTGATCAGTGATCAATTTGAAGCTCAGTTGACTTGAACCATAATAAAAACAGTTTTAAAAGCGGTGTGAACATCAAACCACATGAACTTTGCTTCAATAAAACAAGTTCTGCATGGCTTATTTTGGAGATCTTGTCTGTTTGGCATACAGTAATTGTGACTCATGACTGGATGTTGTTTATACGTCTTTTTCCTCCCAGACAAATCCAAGGGAGAACCCCCGAGACCTTTGTTTGCCTGCTTTGCACCCAACAGCTGTTCTGCTGGCAAACAGTTCAATATTTGCAGTTTGAATTTAGAAGATCCCAAGGGCTGTCACACTGTAGCAGCTGCCAGAGCCCCTAAAGGAAAAATGAAAAACTCACAAACACTCCCCATCCAGACTTTAGATAAGCACACAATTCAAACAGACACTTAAAAACAGGCACTAAGTGCAAAGACACGGCTGTCTGTTTTGTTCCAGCCATTTTAATTGGGGATTTGGGACAGGCTCTTGTCTTTCTCACTGTGATGAACTAAAAATAGTCTCTGACAAGTGTCAGAAAGCCCCGTCGGGTTTAGACTGTTCATTCTCAGTCAGGACAGAGCAGCTCGGCACAGGGAGTCATGCTCAGGGCATATCAAGTCAAAGGAAACAAAGCAGTTTGAAAGTGGGGCTCCAGTAAGGTCATGTTCCTATTTAATGGACCTGTTGCAAAGGAAGCTTTTGCCTCAAGAATTCATCTCAGTAATTGCACTCTTGAACATTTGTCACAGTTTTTCACATTTCGCTACAAGTGACTTAGTAACAAGGAGCACCGGGGAATGACACATTAGGCAGCACTTAAAGAAGGAATACTCAGAGAGAGTCTTTTTTTTCTCAAAACTAATGAGGCCATAATGCTGGCAATAAGAACAGACCGATTTAACAAGCACCTTGCTTCCTCCTGGCAGTACCACGGCAGAAAACATGAACTCTGAGAAATGAGCAGCAAAAGTGTTTAATCCGTTTCATTTATTTTAACAGTTTTAAATGCATTTTTTAAGTTTGCTAAATGTTGAACTCTTAATGACTCATCTAAAAAAAAAAGTAAGAAATACTAATTAATTTCACCATTATTCTCTATTACACAAAGATGAAGAGTGTCATAATATAAAAAGATGCACAAAGAACTGTTGTAAACCGTGGTCAGTGATCAGGCCCTGAAGACAGGATAGACATTTGGTGGCGAATGGCCAGAGGCTGATGTAATGCGATAACTGGCCCGAGCTGAGAGGCTTAATGAGTTTTGTCTGATGAAAGAGCAGAGAGAACAAATTGGAAAAGTCAATTGGAGAATGTCCCACATATAAGCAACAAAAAAAGTTAAACTAAAATAGTTTTTAGTGGTCTCTTGAGATTCTCCCCTGCAGTAAAACACGATTTTTACTATCAAGTGGTTAGCAGTTGTTTTTCTTTTTTTGTTTTCAGGAATAAAGATTTGCATTTTTATTTCAAGGACATCCAATGTTATTGTGCAAAAGTCTTGCCAAACATGGAATTAAAAGTGATCTGTATTTACTACAGCACCCTAATGGACCTGAGATGTAAAAAGGGACAAAAAAAAAAAAAAAAAAAAATCTTATTTTTAAACTTTGGGGCAGTACTGACATATATTCTAAATATTGAGATAGAAAATTGGTTGAGAGAAGAGAGGAAGACCTGCAGCAAAAGTCTTCAGGTCAGAAATTACACTTCAACTAAATAATCCCATCCAGTAATCTCATGTTATACAGGGTCCCCTGTCTGCCACTATAGCTGGTACCAACCTAAGGCACTGATTCTTGTCTTATGACATTCTATAAAGATGCAGCAAATAGATAAAGCAATCTTTGCCTGTCTAGCTGTTTGTCTCAACACATTCTGAATGTCTTGTCAAATCGGTCCTTTCCCTCGTTTGCTTCTCTTCAGGTGATCCTACAGCTTCTATGTTGGGTTCAGCTCTGGGCACTCAGATGAGAGAGGGTTAATTATGTGTCCACATAAACATTTCTGTGATAATTGGCCCAATGTTGTGGATAAATGTCCTTTTGAAATACAGAGAGATTACAATTTTTTTAACCTTTCTATCAGAAATTTTTTAAAATATTCTGGTATTTCTAAACCTGATTTAATACCAGTGTAGATGTCATGGTAAATATGAAGAATTAGGGATGCAAAGATATCAGCTTTATCACAGTTTTCTGACAGTCTTTTACTAGACTCCATACTGTGTGTGGACAAAATAAACGTCTGTCCATCCACACATAAGTGACATGTGCTCCCATCTTTCCCATATTTAAAATGGGTTGATAAAAGTGTTGTTTTGTGCTTAAATCCAATTTAAACACAAGGGGTTTCATACAAACAAGTTTTATTAAATTTATAAGGATTTCTCAGGATGCCTCAAATTGTGGTACTTAAAAAAGGAAAAAACAACAAAAAGATATATGTAACTCTTCAGATTTCTGCTACTGTTTGGCCGGGCAACTGCAATAAGAAAAATCTCTCTAAATTTTTTCAGAAAATGTATTCATTTCTAAATTCGAAAAATGTTTTCATGTCACATTATTAGACATTAGTTAGAGCTTCTTTTGCAACCTCCCCATTTTCAATCTCAATCAGCAATGGAAACAGCAAAGGACTATATGTAATAAGAAATAGTTAAAATAATCAACACCGTAACGTGAAACTCCTGACTTTGCTCCTTGCAGGGTGAGAAATAAATGACAAAATTCCAAATGCATTTCTCTCGCCCATCCTGTCCCCCTTTTGATTTGATGGAAGGGGCCGGTCCCTGCTGTGGCTCAATGTGGTGACCTTTGTGTGGACTGCAGCTTTATAATGCAATGTAAAAAACACTTGAGAGGAGCGGTACTGATCCAAGTTGAGTTGAAAGGACTCCGCAACTGGCCCAGTCTGAGATTTCACACACCTGCCAGGCTCCGTCTCTGACAACTTAGTTAGAAAAGGCATTTTAAGCTTCTTTAAACCCACTGGTTTTAAAGAGCTGCTCTTTGTAATGGACAAAAAGTATTGTAGCTATCCAAAGAGTACTGATTTTTAAGGAGATGTTTTTGTTTTGTTTTTTTCGTTTATTTTTAAATGAGGCATGAGCAGCACTCTGTCTCCTCATATTAGATAAGGTCATACCTAATAATACAAACATATTTTTATGAGCCTGAATTGACAGATAAGTAAAGCTGTTGTCAATGTGGACCAGCTGTAAATGGCTACTTGTCACCATCTTTGGGGACAGTTGTATAAAAGCCCTTTGAGTTTGCCAGCACTTTGATGTATAACTCAACCACAAGTGCAGTGAGCTTAAAAGTGCAAGTATTGGCTCGTGAGTCAGCACTCCCTCCCAGTTGGTATAAAAAGTGTTTGCTTGGAGAACAGCGATGAGACAAAGCCTGCACAGCCCTGGGAGTGTTGGTAGCTGTCACTAAAAGGAAAGGCTGCAACAAAGCTGGGGCAACACTCTGGGAATGGTCTGATGTCTGATGTTGAAGTTTAAGAAGCTTCGGCTGCTCCAGGTTAGTTTGAAACTGCTTCTAGAATATGTTATTTTATAATTTTTGGACTTTGGAGGGTTTTTTTGGAAGATATATGTCCATTCTTTATAATTCCACATATTGGTGAATAAGTGTTGCTTATGTTTGGTGTTCAAATTGTGAGATTTTGTTTCACTTTACTGATAAAATTCAATTCATGAAGCTTTGTTGCATTTCAGGCAGTCATTGCAGTGGTTGTTTTAAGGGAAGTTCACATTTGAAATATTTTTTCTCATGACATCTTTATGCTGCTGACAAGGTCAGACACTTCAAGAAACAATACAACAAAATGTCCATGTGAATGTGATTATTTACTGTTCAAGCATTTTTCACACTTCATTGTTATTGGTTTTGTTTTATGTTGCTTTTTGCATGAAATTCTGTAAATACTTTGGAGTGTATCAAAACTTTGGTCTGCATTTGTTTTCTGTATTTATCAAATATGATTTATTTTATGCATCATATGTCTCTCAGTTGCCTTTGTGTACTTGCAATTGGAATTATGATCTTTTTTTTTCAGCCAAGAAAAAAAAAATCATAATTGTGCACAGAATAACCTAAAAACCAACGAGAGCAGATTATGTCATCATGAGCAATTTTTTAATTTATTTTTGTCATACCAAAAGAGAGAAGTCATTCTATTTTATCTAGCTACAATGAAGAATGTCCATCTCTGTTATATTTTTTTTTCTTCTTCTTCTTGGGATTAGAAAGTTAGAATCCTTGCCAACTGATCTGTGAAATGTTTGGCTACCCTTAATTTAAGCTGCGCTTGTGGTTGTACCTCAACCTTTCATGTAGTGCAGTGCTGCAAAATGAATCATTTAGCACTTAAGGGAAAACAAAATGCTTAGAAGGCTGCTTTTTTTCAAGCTTTTAACTTATCTTATTTGTCACAGTTTTAATTTAGAAACCTAATGAGATGTACAGGGTTCATACTTTTTTTTGTTCATTCTAAGAATGTTTGCAGCTTTTTTACTGAAAGATTAGACTTGTGTGTCCAAAAAAATTATAAATTCTGTTTCTAAGTGACTAATCATTTTGCTCTTTACTTAAGCTTGTTTTTCTTCTGTCTTTAATCTAGGACACATCAGAAGAAATGCTTTTGAACCAGAGAACTTCCTGACCGAGGACCTAAATTAACCATGGTTCCTGCATAACTGGTTATGAAAATCTGTACTGAACATCTAAAACGGTTTGTATTTACACTTTGTTCATTTTTTTCTATATATAAGCATCATCTGATCATGCAGTGACATTGTGTTTGTCTCTCTTCAGGCAGGGTGTAAGATGTTTGTGGAGTCAGTTGTCCGATGGTGGGTGTGGAGCATCCTGCTACAGTTCGGTCTGGGTGTGTCTGCAGGAGGCTGCCCTTCACGGTGTACGTGCCGACCTGAGGCAAGAGAAGCTGTCTGCTCTGGGAAATATTTGACTTCTGTGCCAGAGGGTGTATCCAACGACGCCAGACGTTTGGATTTATCCCGCAATAGGATTAAAACTGTGGGACGTCGTCAGTTCTCTGGCCTCCTGCAACTTCAGGAGTTGGACCTCAGTGAAAATGTAATCTCCATGATTGAAGTAGAGGCTTTTTTGGGCCTTAGGAATCTTAGGACACTTCGAATTAAAAACAACCGTCTCAAGATCCTCCCAGTGGGAGTGTTTTCTGGCTTGTCTAATCTGCGCTATGTGGACTTGAGCCAGAATGAGATTCTTGTTTTTCTGGACTATACTTTCAAAGAAATGGTCAACCTGCAAACTCTGGAAACTGGGGAGAATGACCTTGTCTTTATCTCACAAAGAGCTTTTTTTGGTCTACAGAATCTGCAAGAGCTCAACTTAGATCGCAGCAACCTGACCTCCATTCCCTCCGAAGCCTTGTCTCAACTCCAGAGCCTGGCCCAACTTCGCATGATACGGCTAACTATTTCTACACTCCCCAACAATGCTTTCCGACGACTCCACCGTTTGCGAAGTCTAGTGATCTCAAACTGGCCAGCATTAGACTCAATTGCTACAAACAGTCTAATCGGTCTTAATTTGACCTCACTTGTCATCAGTAGCTGCAACCTAAGCTCAATTCCTTATGCAGCCCTTCGTCATCTAGTGTACCTACGCTTTCTAGACTTGTCCTATAACCCCATCACTATCATCCAAGGTAACCTGCTGGGGGATCTTCTGAGACTCCAGGAGTTGCATCTTGCCGGGTCAAATCTGCTACAAATAGAGCCAGGAGCCTTCAGGGGACTGTCCTTCTTTCGCATGCTTAATGTGACATCAAATCAGCTCACTACTTTGGAGGAGAGTGCTTTCCATTCTGTGGGGAACCTTCAGGTGTTGCGGTTGGATGGGAATCCCCTTGCATGTGATTGCCGTCTTCTGTGGGTGGTCCGTCGCAGGCTGCGCTTGAACTTTGATGGACATCAGCCCACTTGCTCTTCTCCTGATACAGTGAAACATCGAGAATTCAGAGAGTTCTCAGAAAAAGAACTCCCAAAGCTTTTCACCTGTCGCCCTGCTCGTGTCTTGGACCGCAGGCCGCAGGAGGTGAGAGTGGAAGAGGGTACCACCGTTCTGTTTTCCTGCAAGGTCGACGGGGATCCATTACCAGTTATCACATGGCTTTCCTCCCAGAAGACTGTGATCTCTCCTTCAGGAAGAATCAGAGTTTTACAGAATGGTACTCTTGAGGTGCGATTTGCTCAGGTTCAGGACAGTGGTACATACCAGTGCCTGGCAGGCAATGCAGCTGGCAATGACAGCCTGACTGTGGGTCTATATGTGAAGGGGCTTCCACGTAACAGATCCATCCCTTTGTTCACAGAAGAAGGTTGGGTTGAGCCTTCAACTGCCCAAGCTGCCAACTCCTCATCTCAATTGGCCAAGCCATATCCCTTTGACGCAAAGACCCTGATAATTGCAACTACCATGGGATTTCTGTCATTCCTCAGTTCTGTGGCCATCTGTTTCGTCTTCATGTTTTTCTGGAGTCAGAGCAAAGGTCAGATCAAGCACACAGCAACTATTGACTTTGTTCCTCGCTCTTCTGTTGGTGGAGGAGGAGGGGATGGAGGTGACGGGGGCAGGTTTACTATGAAACTTATTTAAAGAGATATAAGGTGATGAGACCAGTCTCTGAATGAAGTATTTCCACTATCTGGCTCAAAGACATCAACCAGAGTTGAAATGGTTCTTGAGAAAGCAGTTAGGTTTTATGTTCTATCATGCTAGTTCCTCTGTGAGTTTTAGAGCTGGAAATTATGTCAGTGGCTTCTTTTCTGTCATTTCAGAAAATAAAATGCATTTGATCTGCATTTGTTTTATCAAATCATACTTTTAATCAGCATGTGCTTACCACATATTTCTTTTTTTTAATAAATAAAAAAAGTCATAAGCTTAACTCCTCTTTTATTAAGTAAATTTGAAACATCTACTGCTTTAAGAATATAAACCAGACCTGATGCTGTTTAATCATTCATGTTTTATTAATGTACTCAATCTTTTCTTCACATGCCAGAACTAACTTATCAATGTTATACTGGCTTTAATTCTCAAACAAAAAAAAAATCATATATGTAAAGCTTTTATATACAACTATGGTGTATAGATAAGCAAAAATAATTTCTTCCTTTAAACCAAACTTTTTGTGACTTTATGGATTTATTTTACTTATAAGGTTGCAGAAAAAAAACAAGTATCCAGCTATATATATTTCTTTATAGCACAACTGTTAAATCATGATGTAGGCGTGTCAAACCACTGATAGCAAGCCATAATGTACATAGGGAATGTATTCTTCCTGTTTCAGATTTTAGACTCTTTTTTTAAAATCTGCCTTTCCTTTTGTTTCATAAATTCACATTATTACAATATTAGGGGACTGTTTATTCTATCACAGCATGCTAACATTTCTTTTTTATATTCATGAAATGTTTTTATATATATGTATATATATAATGTAACTACACAAAACAGAGAAATATGTGCCTGAGCAACATTCTCACCATCGACAGAGAGAATGCTCACCTGAACAATATTGTCTTGTTGTTATTTGGGTCAGGGACAATGTGTGTCCTCTGTTTATTGCATCACTTATCTAGTTTTGGGGATTAGTGTCATTCAAATATGCCACTCTTGGTGCATGTGTGCTTAATTTAGTTGATGCATAATGTTATATACAAAAACAGTGCTTAACCACACCCAGAAGAAAGATTTAATGTGGCACACATGCACTAAAAATGTTTAGTTACTGTAAATTACTTTTTTTCAGCCTGTTATTAAATGCTGGTTTCAATCTTCACTGTCTGTGTCCTTTTACTTTTTATAAAGAAATTTTTATGAGGGTTTTGAACCTAAAAGAAGTTTAATCAGAGTTGGATTTGTTGAGAATTTGTCAAAATGGCACATTTTCTTGCATAAAGGAGAAGCTTTATCCTCACCATATGACTCCATTCTGATGAATATAAGTTTTAGATTGAAAAAGAAAACTGGTTATGTTGTCCTTTTGCAACATTAAACAACAAAACCACCCAACAAATATGTGATTTCTTTTTTTTTTCTAAAAAGATGAAGGATTATGTGTACACAGTAATACTGTATTTGCTGCTCGTTCTCTACTGGCCCCACGTGTGTTCCAACTGAAATACCATTAATCTCTTTGGACATTTACGGACATTTTCTGCCACTTTTGCTCCAAGTGCTTAAATGCTGACTGAAATAAAAATGAAATATGGGAGAAAGTAGTGGAAAATAATCATTAAGGTAGGAACTGCCCATGTTTGCAGGGTTAAGAGACTTTCCGTGCTCTTAGCAAAACCCCTGAGCAGCAAATAATTTTGTTCATCTCATGCAGTCGCCCAGAATAACCCAGAAAAAAAATAATCACGTGTATGAGCGGAGATTTAAACCCTTTAGGATTACCTCTCCCTGTCTCAATCTGTTATATAGGTCTGTCTGGCGGGTGCTATCCTTTGGCCTAGCTTTGCCTGTAATATTATCTATTTTAACACAACTATTTGCTCCCATTGGACATAAAGCCAAAGAAACAGATTAAAGTTGTGTTTATAAACCACACCCCAACACTTTGACAGACATGAACAACCCCCAGGAATATTATGGTCTCTATCCTTCTGCTGAAGACTCGGATGAAGAGTCTTTTAGAAATAAAATGTATTTATGACATTTATGCTAAAAACTTTTAGCTGGGATATTAGTAATCAATTGAAGCAGATTAAAACATATTTGATAGAAAGTCATCAATGAACCAAATATTCACAAACACTGTGTACAGCAAACAGATTCATTATTTCATTCTTTAGGGGTTGATGTTAAGTCAGTCCAATTTTTTTTCTGTTTCAGGACAGTAAAAGTTTTCCAAATCATCTTCATTTCCTAAATGCCAGAAGAACGAGTGATAATTGTTGTCTTTCTTCTAATTCAAAATCGCATGAACAATAGATGGACTGTTTAAAATATATATTTATCTCACAGTTTTACAGCAAGGTTGCATCAGACTTGGAGGAAAATCTGAAAATAACTAAACTTCTAAACTGTCACCTTTTTGAGCAGTTTAGAAGTGCAGTAAACTTTGTTTTTCTATGACTATGCTTGATAAATCAGAGAAAATTGCATATATAGCCTTTTACTTGTATTCAAATTTAGTATTCAAACTATAAAATGTGATATTTTGTTATATAACTTTACATCATCTTCATCAGGCTCGTCAGCTCGGGAGCCCACTGAATGTTCAGCTTTGACTTTAGTTATTTTTAGATTTTCCTCCAAGTCTGATGCAACGTAGCTGTAAAACTGTGAGAGAAATATATATTTTAAACAGTCCATGTAAAGAAATCACCAGAGACTTGGCTTTAATCATACTGAGTGCTTTCAACGTTATTCAAATTTCATAGACAGTTTTGGCTGAAAATGCAAGATGTAAGTAAGCAACGGTCTTATTCTGTTGCTCACTTTGGATGATGATCACAATCATGCTGATTATTTTGAGTAAATTTTTTTGTTTGTCTGTTCATCTGCCATGTTAATGTAATAACACTACAAATATCTGAAGTATTGTAATTATTAGCTTATCTTTTTGCCTATTACCAGTCTGACCCTGCAGTGTGTGATGTTTCTTGACTTAATACTGCAGTCTGTGCTGAAAGCACAATTAAGAATCCTCATTAGAATTAACAAGCCAGAAGTAAATCACCTCAATTTGCTTCATGGTTTAAGTAAAACACGGCAAACCCCTAAGCCTGAATCACTTTAGATTAAAGAGGATCTACTGAAGTTAATTACAATGAACATAAGATCTTCCACAATTTCATTTTGTTTTACCTAAGACAAACTAATGTATGATTTCAATCTTTTTTCATTGAACTGCACCACTTTCCATTGTAATTTTGTATTGTCTGAAGATTAATATATCACTAGGTGTTTTCTCTATTTCTTTCTTTTTTATTATTATTATTTTTATTTGTTCCAAATGATTTTGCAAAAAAAAAAAAAAATAGTTATTTGAAATTTAACTCCTAACAAATCAACTTTAGCAAAGTGGCTGATGAGCATAATACCAATTCACTGCAATAAACAATTATTCAGGCAATTTAATAAATGAAAAGCCCTATTTACAATTATCACACTATAACAGATCGCTGCATTAGCCTTATTTTCACTCAGGTGCTGCATTGAGAGTTTGATTAATAAAATATGCAAAACTCTTTTTTTTTTTTTTAATTGGAATATTTATGTGACCCTCATGTAGTCAGCTCTCATTAAACAAAAAACAAATGCATATTTTAGTAGTGGTTAATGTTTAAAGCCAATGATTGCCTTGTTCTAAATGTAAAAAAAATGGTAAAATATTACAAATACAAATCAGTGCACTAAGCTTCAGAATGTAACGAATCATATCCTCACAAATTATTCATCAAGCAACATCAAAAGATTAAGTATCCATTTAATTCCTGAAATACTTTTTTAAAACTCTGCTTCTGCTGCCACCTAGTGGTCAGAACCTAGATTTCATCATTGCCTTGACGAGCTGTGAAAGAATCCTCTCATTTAAGCAAAGACGGATGGATAAGCAGATGAACAGGTTGAGATTGTTCAGTAGACTTTGCAGGGAGAGAAAAAAAAAATCTCACATGACAAAAATGAATCATCACTGTGAACATGGACTGTTCTTCTAGCACACCTGCCTCATACATAAGCTCAGTACTGACACATAGCTCTCTCTCTCTCACACACACACACACACACACACCTACACACACACATTTCCTTCTGATACAAAACATTCCTTAATCCAAAGTAGCCAAATAACATAACTATTAATAAATAACTTAATTTCTCCACAATAGATGGAGCGATAGACAAGAATAAGAAATAAAATAGGGGAGAGATTTAGCAAAAATTATTTATGTGAAAGAGCTTCAGAGGAAGCTTTCTATTTACCAAAAAAATTATCTCAATTCAAGTTTGCCAAATGTTGTTTATCCCCAAGACTTTTGAGAAAATAACCATTACCTTTTGCCATGAAACCACAGTTTCAGAAAATGAAAGAATAAAACTGAAGCTGATCTGAAACATTTGAGTGACAAAAAGCAAAAAATAAAAGTGTAAAGGGGAAATACCTTTTCTCGGTCGTATAGATCAGTAAGATAACTGAATATGAGTGAAATTTACTCTTGATTAAAAGCCAAAAAGTTGCTTCTTTAGAGTGTGCTCAAAAGTGTTAATTTCAGTGGCAACATGTGGAGACAATTAAAGCCTTTGAATAAGATGTTTAATAACAGATTTAGGCTGGAGTAGTTGGGAAATTTCAATCTTTGAAAGACATGTAGCGCTCTCTGACTAAAAGGGAAAATGAAAATCCCTCTGCTCCGTTTCCATTGGAAACAAGGCAGAGGGCATGTGCTCTGTCAAACTTCTCATAACAGTCAGATTATTCTCTGAATGGCACTTAGGAGATCAGTTTCACTAAATTGAAGGAATACATTTTATTAGTACCATCAACAGAGATTCATTGTTTATAGCTGTTTAGGTTCATACGTTTCAGTCAGCTTTGCTCACAAAAGCAAGCACAGCAGAATGAAACTGCTGATCTACTTCAAATCAGGCACTTGGGCACTATTGGCACATATTGATTGGACATTACAGTGGAGGATGTTGACAAGGCAAAAATCAAACTTAGCCATAGGTGTGGGGGTCTTACTATCTATGAAATATCACTAAAGAGATCACATTAATTTTGAAGTTTTATATTTCAATATTTCAGAAACTGTTCTGCCGAGATTTTTCTGCATGATCAGATTTGCATAAAATCATCAAAAAAAGAAGAAAATACCCTATGGGCAGTTGAGAGAGCAAAAAAACACCTTGTTGATGTCAAAGGAAAATGAGTAGAGTGGTTTGAAATGACAGACAACAGCAGCTCAGGCAACTCATTACAACACATTAAACCTTGAAGCACATGGACTCCAGCAGAAAAAGTGCACACCGAATACCTCTCCTGTTAGCTAAGAACAGAAAAGTGAGGCAACAATTTGCACAGCTCACCAAAATTAGGCACCAAAAGAAAAACACGCTACCTGTTCTACTGAGTTTTTATTTTACCTTCAAAGCAAACTTGGTTGTGTCAGAATATCTCAGCATTAAAGCATGGGTCTATCCGGCCTTGTTGCAAAAGTTCAGACTGTTGGTCGTTGCATAATGGTGTGGGGAATCATTTCTTTGCACTGTTGGACCCATTAGTGCCAACAGAGGATCATTCCCCGCCTGAGTTGTGTTGCTGACAGGTGGGTGGATTCTCCAAACCTTATACTCAAGTAAGACTGGAACTAATACAACATATATTGGTGGGATAAAAAAAAAGTAGGCATCCAAGGAATTACTCAATTAAGTATCCCCCTGTCCTTTCCCCCTTTCTGACAGGAAAGGGGGAAATGACAGGACAGAAAAGGGGGAAGACATGCAGCAAATATCATCAGGTCCGGGAATCGACCCCAGGATGGCCGCTTCAAGGACTCAAGGCTTCCAAACGTGGGTCGCGCTATCCCACGTTTAGAGGGATAGCATGCCCCATGTTTATTCCTTTATAACCACAGCATGCCCACCTTCTAATGCCTACTTCCAGTTGAAAGTATGCATTAGAAGATGCATACCTGATTGTGCAGAACTAGCCAGTTGGGTAAGTTGATATCTTACCCAACTGGTTTTTTCAATCAATCAAATCATTAATTTATATGTTTAAGTGATGCTTTTATAATAAAACATGGGCATACAATCAGTTTAAAAAAAAAAAAAAAATTGACAACACATGAAAAGCAAATAAAATGCATGCACAATACAGACAAACATGTAGAAATGTGTGACACTATCAATGATTCCTAAAACTTCAAATTTCCCAAGGGATCTGAAAACAATGGTTAGTTTCTCTTTGTCACTCTTCAAACTGGTGAAGACAAGACAACATGCCAATCAATTAATAATACTTGGAGTATTCTTAACTGATTAATTAATTAATTGATTAATACCTCAAATACCTCTTACTCCAAAAAATGTATCTTGGTTATCATCCAACCTAATTTATCACAGTTCCAGCAGTATAAAATTGTGCAGTTATAACTCTGTGTCGATATTGGTAATTTAATTTACTTCCCTAAGAGAGCGGGACATTTCAGATAGAAATCTGAAGGAGTCCATCAGAAAATTACATTATCACTGGGTATTTGAAAAAGGGAATTATTCACGATATATGTGGTTCATCAAAGACAAATCAACATTAACATTTTAAATTGAAATCCATCCATCCATCCATCCATCCATCCATCCATCCATCCATCCATCCATCCATCCATCCATCCATCCATCCATCCATCCATCCATCCATCCATAACAACAGTCAACCCATATTCTCTTTTCAGGGAAATTTAGAGAGACTACTGTATACCTAACATGTGCATTTTGGGACTGTGGGACAAAGTCAGAGTACCAGGAGAAAAGTCACAGATGCACTGGACCTTTTTGTAACCCCTTCCTCCCTCATGCCTTCTGCTTCTCCATCCTCTGACTAATTCTTTAAAAACATTTTAGAACATAGTGCAGTGACTCAATGTGTCCAACTCTGAAATGCCATACTGGCTAAAGGAGTTTATATAAAGTATGCAAAATATTGGTGACAATAATTTGTCAATATGATTTTGGAGAAAGGAAATAAATATTTTATTTTGGGATTTCCTTTCTTCCAAATAAATATGCCCAAATCAAAGATGCGAGATCAAATGTGAGAAGATAACATCAGAAAATGAGATCACTGTCAAAAACAAACTTATCAGTGTAAATCATCTTTATAAGCAACAGGTATGACGTTACTCCACACATCAGTGACCAAACCAAAAGATTTACAGTGACTTCCAATCCTCCCGGCTGTGATTTTCTCTCCTACGCTGACAAGCGACACTCCCCCCGCTTTTTTGCCTTTTGTTCCGAGGTGGAGCCTGACACCCCGACTTTACCGAACCTGACTGCTGGTGAGGGAGAAGGAGGAGAGAGAACCGGGACCAGCGAACATTGGCGCGCCTCTGGAACGCAGATCGAACAGGGAGTCTGACCAGACGTCTTCAGGGAAGGAACCAGCTTACAAATCGTTCAAACAGATCCGCACGAAAAGATGAATTATTTTATCCTCCTGTCGGTTCTGGCCACGGTGGTTACCGGAAAGTCACCTCGCCTGAAATTTATTGTTCACGGTAAGACATTCATTTGTGGACCGTTTCGGAGACTCAGCCTGATGATCCATCTTAATATTAATATCTGCAAGCTTATTCTTTCATGTCGTGTTCATTAGGAGTTGGATGTGTCATGGATGCATGAATGGCTGAATGGTTGGATGGAGAGATGAGTGAATGAATTAACGGAGCATACATCATTAGCTGATGCTCTCAAATATTTCTGTTCCCTCAATTCGACAGTGTTTCTTTTTCTAAGATAAAAGTGCAAACAGGAAATGAATAATCGGAGCACTTCATCATTTTCTCCATCAGCCAACCGGGGTGTAAATTGCGCGTTCCAGCATTCAGGCCCCGCACAAAGCATCTAATTGCATTTGCTCCTTAAGAAAAACAATTATACAAAATCAAATTCACATATTAACCTTGTGTTAGAAAATACTTATTATGAGATTGATGTTTTTTATTTCAATTTGTTTGCATTTGTAGTTGTGGAGTGCCATAAAATTGGGGGATATTCATGCAACTTGTGGATTTTCTGTCATTAATTTTGACAAACTCCGAGTTTCTTTAAATCCACATCTTTTTGCAATGCCCAGGACAACAATGCATTTATTCGTCCTCCCACACTGTCACATCCTGCAGACGCACAGCGAGAGATTAGGAGCAGAGGCACTAATAAAGCAACTCTTCAGTGCCAAAGGGGGGTTCATGGCGCCTCTTTGCTCCAGAAAGGCTGTCTTTTTAAGAGCGGCCGGTCATAGCTGGAAAGCGTCATTATTATGATATACGAGTCTATGGAGGTTGACACGTTCATTGTAGCCGCCGTGTCCTTGCGGAGCTGCAATGCGGGACGCGGCAGCTGCTTCACACTGCAGCAGATGAATCAGGCTCGTAGAAGAAAAGGCTGCTTTACAGTAAAAACAGGAGGGGAAACATACATAGCTGCATATATACCAGCTCAGAAAGGGAACTTAAACGGACAACAGAGCAAGGAGTGGAAAATCTCCCCGTTATTCATTCCACTCACGCACTTTTACGCCGCACACAGACCTCTAATATATTCAGCAATCAATAGCGATGTGGCTGTGTGTCAAGTTATCTGGATCTGGATCGCTCGCCTCCCTCTGGATGGGGCAGCACATACACACACACACACAAAAAAAAAAAAAATACACCACCAGATGACGTCTCTGAACGTGCGTGTCATTTCAATCAAACTCGTTGTAATGCAGGGACACACAGGCGCAGGGACACATTGTGAAGTACAGGCAGAGAATGTCAGAATAAATCCACGAAAGCCTCAGTCTGCTCCAAGGAACTCTCTGGTGTTCTCATTTGACACCCTTGAGCCAAATGAGGACATTAAGGAGGTTCTCATATCTTTCAGACACCGTGGGTTAAGGCTGGTTTGGGATCTTGAGAGATAGAGGACACACTGCACTGCATTCACTCAGGTCTATTACTGTAAGTGCATTAAACCTCAGGAGAAGCAAGATATCTCAGAAAGCTCTAAGTGGAACAAACAATTATGAAAGTGCAGGAGAAATAAATTCAACTCTTAATGAAAAGCGTGCTTTATAATAGGGTAACTTCATTAATAGATACAAATGAACTTGTCTGCATGTGATGCAAAAAGGGCACCATGAACAAACATCAGAAACAAAAGTGATACTGATAGCAACATAAATACCAGATTTATGGACTGCATAACGTGTTTTTATTAATCAGTTATCCTAATCATAAAGTGTGAATATGACGAGTCTCACACAAAAATAGAATCGTTTGGCATGTCTAAAACGTTGAAATATATTAATATATTTCATACTAAGAAATTTGAGGTACCTTTTGTCAGCCAAATTATTGGAAATTGAATCATTTTCACCTCTTCAACTTACTGTGTCATCAGCATATCTCTGACAAAGGGCAGAGAGCCCAGAATTTACTTTTCAGGGAATTCTGTCTTGCTTGTTTATCATTGGTCTCAATTTGTTCACCACAATAGTGTTTTCTTTATGTGGCCAGGTTGGGATCATTACTTTTGCTCTTTCAGTTGTTTATGCTTTAGAAGAGCATTAACTGTTGTCACTGTGTAAAGGTTAGCTGAAATAGTGTTTTACTTTCAGAGCTACAATGTATATAGTGAAGCATTGCCTCAATATTTATTTTAAGTTGTAATTAGAATCAGATTGCTAAGAGCAACTTAACTGAAGCAGCTGAGCATCCTTAAATAACTTACTTCTAATTGGAAATAGCTAAATTTGACAAGATCACACCAGTTTTAATTAGAAAATGGTTATCTGGTAAGGAATGTTTCTCCATGGTTGCTACGTATTGCGTTGTTTGCTTAGTTGGAAATTAAACACATCGTACTCATCATTTAGTTAAAGTATTAGAATAGCTGGTGACCTGAAGAGATAGTTCAGCTAATCGATCAGCTAGCAGCTTTTCAAACTGTCAGTGTTACTGTACAAATAGAAGAACAGCAAAACCGTCTGTGTAAAAATGTTTGCTGCCAAATTATTTGGCTGTTTATACTTAGCCAAACTATAATTAGGTAAAAATAGAACAAAACTAATATTTTGATGTCTTATTTTGGCATAACAGGAATATTTATTTCTTCTGTCAAAACCAAATAAAAAATGGTGCATTTTGGTGCAAAATTTTGGTTGATCTTGTTAATCTCACTTTGTCTGGATCTCTTTTAGTGATGGGCATAATAGGTTTAGCTACTCTGAGTTTTTTCTTGTCTGGTGAAAATGGAGTGAGCGGCATATCTAGAGGAGTAAAACTAAAAGCAATGCAAGCAAAACAACTCACTGGTGTATTTTAAAAAGCCTTGAGGGTCTAAAGGGAACTGTAGAATTGCAGGATAAACATCTGAGGCAGCTGCTTCTATGAGTACCATGTCTCACTTTATGCATACACATAAAATCCAGCTACTGTCAATATAAATTTGTGCAGCTTGAATCACAGTAAAACTAAACCACAGTTTTTCTGTTTGATGTTTATTTGACCCATTTCTAGACTTTTTTTTTACTTTGCTTTTGTTGAACCTGCTCTAGGATTAGGATCTGGATTAGGCAGGCAGTAGATTAAAAATGAAAAACAGTCTTGCTTTGCTGTGCACAACTACCTCTGGAAGAGAGAAAAACAGGAAAAACCCAAAACACAGGCAAAAAGGAAATTAATGAGACTAAAATGTCCTCAGAAAAAAAATGTGTAAAATAAAACAGAGAAATTGCTTTTTTTTTGCGTTGACCTTTTCACAAAAATATATTTCTTGGCTTTAAATGAGTTTTACAGATTTACCTGTCAAAAGAAAACTTGGAGGTCGATCTAAAAAACATTGCAATTTTAGAATGAGGAGCCAACACTGAAGCTTGTTTCTCCAGCAGAAACGACATTTTCACTCTTTTTCATGTTTCTTTGAGCAATTATGATTTAGTTTCTTCAACAGTGACTCATTAATTTAAAAATGTCTTAACTTCAAGAAACACATTGTCCATTGAGAGTTAAACAAGTCTTAATTTGCTGCCTTTATAGACAGCTGTTCAAGCTAAGCAAAAATTGAGTCTCAATTTGGGAAAAGCCTTTTGAGAATTTAAGGTTTTTACACAGTAAGAATAAAACAAGGAAGAAGACGAGAACAAAATATTTAAAACCACTGGAAACAGAAATAAATATTCATGAGTCCAGACTAATGCCAGGTATTATCTTGACTGGTTTCAAATATACTTTGTTTTAAAGTATATTTGACATATTTTTATACTATTAAGTAGAGAGAATTTTCATTAGCTGTTAATTTTATTGTTTGTGTTTTCTAACTGCATGACATTTCTTTTTTGCACCCCAGAGAACATAAAATCCCTAACAAGCAGGTTTCCACAGGGCTTAGTGAATCTCTTTGCATGTTTTAAGAATACATTTCGCCAAGTTTTTAGAATCAGTATTTTAGCATTAATGTCCAGGCCCTAAACTGATCTATCCTAGGCAGTTCATGACCTCTTAGAACTGCATATACTAAATAAATACTCCTGATTTCTACATTATATTTCACATCCTGCATTTTATGCTGCTCTACAAAAGTTCAAAGGCAAGAAGCAGGGAAATTGGAAAAGGCTGATTTTGAAGCAGTGACAGTGAAAAGCACACAAGTAGTTAAATACAAGTGGCAGATTATTCACTAGTAGTCGTTACCTGTTTTTATAAAGCACTTTTATTGGGGTGGCTGCTTGGTTAAGTATTGTTTTACACAATAGTCCCATTTACTGTGTGAAATAAAGAGTTGCTAAAATTGGTAAATGCAAAGAAATATATTTACTGGAGAGCCTGGCCTTCATCTCCAAAAACCTTTAGCTTCAATCTTGTTTTCAAACTCACAACAGCAAATATACTGATGCTATGATGTGTTTTCATCTCAATACATTGAACACACAAAATCATTAAACAGTGCAAACCTTGGCTTTCAAAGTGCAAGTTGTCCAAACCTTGTGTTTTGGTGGGGATCTGATGTGGTTGGAAGCATTAAGCTAACAGATTTAGCTTTATAGCTGGCAGCAACAGGAGAGTTTGGGAAATTACTTTATGAAATTGGTTAGATTACTAAGATGTTTTACTAACAACTACTGAGCATAATGAACTGACCACTGATTATGTGCACAAAGGTTTGGAAGTTCAACTGGCTATTAAACAGGTCTCTCATTCTGATAGAGGAAGTGAGGAAACAGGAAGTGATATGATTTGCTGTCACTCTTTAAATACACAGGAGAGCAATAACAATGCAATTTGGTGACCAGGTGCAGCTGCTGAACCCTGGATTACACCAATCTAACTCTAAACTTCAGAGTGCATTTTCCCCAATACTCTCCATTTAGTGTGATTCAGCTTGTACTGTTTTTCAAAGAATGATTGACAGACATGTTCTTCTGTCAATAGAGAGATATTTTTTAAAAGACTGTAACCGCGTAAAAAGGTAGTTCTAAAAAGTACTGAGTCAGAGAGGCTAGATATAAATGCAAAGCAATTTCTCTTTGCATAAAACCATGTATTTTTTGTTTCCCTCTGACTTCACAATTATGCACCGATTTATGTTGGCCAATTACAAAAAAGTAAAATAAAATGCATTGGCATTTGTGGTTGTAATGTGACAAGACTGCAAATGTCATATGAAAACTTGTGCAAGGCACTTAACTTTTATCTTCTAGAGTAAGATATGTTTTTGTAAATCTTCTTGGCTTTCCCAGTTGGTAACATGGAGGTTAAAATACACAATTCAAAATGTTTGTGTCATTTAATCGAGAAGATTTAAACTTTGTTTGTGTAAATACAATGGTAAGGTGAATTTGAATATATGTATATATAATTTAAATAAATAAATAAAAAGAAAAATAAATATCCCATGCATTTCTGATGAGGATATTCACATTTACTAAACTGTAAATTGCTAAAAAGATTATACATATTTAGGTTTTCTCCAAGCGCATGGAGAATTATTTACGTTCACCATCTGGATTCTATTAAACAATTAAACAATTTTACTAATGTTCTGGGTTACATTATTAAAGCTCACTAACAGGCTTACAATTAGTTGGATAAACATATGACATATACTGTATATCTTCATAGAATTCAACCAATTTTCACTACAATTCTTCAGTTTCTTGTGTAGGTTTATTACCAGAAAATTTAGTGTAACAAAGCTTTTTAATTATGTCTTGTGTAGCTTTATTGCATTAAGTCTGGCCTCCTAGGGCTAAACTCTGTTCAAGAAAATTAGTAATTAAAAAGATTTAGACATTATATGTCAAATAATTGATTTCTAAACATGTTTGTAAAATATTGTCAGGATGTGAGCAATGGAAATGTCGTTTGAAATCTGCTATGGGAACATCTGAAAGCAGATCAAACTATACTGTAATTAAACTAATGCATTACTTGAACACAAAAATGTTCGGCTTTCCATAAATTGGTCAATCTGTGTTCTACAGTACATTTTTTAAGTGGTTTGCCTTTCTCAAGGAGAAATGTTCTGGCTTTTAATGTCTGCTGTAGTTGTCACCTCTAGTCCATCCAGACAGTATGGAGCGGACATTTTGGAAAACTGTGAAGCAACAGAACCCCTTCAGCTTCAAATTATATGTCGATGTCCTCTGGCTCACAAGTTTTATTTTTTAGTGACAGTTAATTTCCTTTGAATCTTTGGAAAACAAAAACAGTGGTCAGTTTAAGAAAACACTAACTTTGAGTGTTCTTTCAAGCATGGTTGGTTCAAAACAAGTACATTTATACCATTCAGAAATTAATTGTGAATGTTTTTCCTTTATGATTTAAAATGACTGGAGAGGACAGATAGATCTGGAAAGCTAAGTCAGAAGAAGAATGTAATTATTTCTAGAAGTGTTGTGGTTAAATGGACTAAACAACTGAACAAAAACCAGCATCAGCTGCCAGTTCCAGGTTCTTCTGGTAAATTTGATTGTATAGCATGTTTGTAAGGCTCTGACATATTACTGGTCTTATACCTAATTGGCAACACGACTGCACCTCATTAGACCATACCATAACAGAACAGGTCAAACCAAACAACAAAATCTAAACAGAGACTAATTTACAAACCCATGTATAAAAATTGACTGAGGCTTAAAATCATAATTTTGGCAAAAATATTAATTGAAGCAATTTCATATGTTCTTGTCCTTTAGGGTTATTTAGTTATTGGTTTTACCTCTTAGGGAATGACTTCACTTAAAAACATTCATGCTTGTTTTCAAAATGTGCCTTGAGGTTATTGTGAATTTGTCTCAGACATTAATTTTGGTTGAAGTAACGTTGAGTCAACAAAGACATGATCAGGAAGCTGTGTCAGCTGCCAAAGTAAATATTGCTCTAAATCTGTTTGTTTGATTGCCTCGTGATTTCCCCCACAGCCAAACGCCACACTGGGTATCCTTCGGTATTTCTCATTTTGTCTGAACAACAAGTTTCATCAATTAGATTCCTGTCAACGAAGGAGGCCGTTGTTTCCATAGAAACATAGTCTGTTGGCTAGCAGCCTACAGTGCCTCCTCTCTCTTCATTCTGGTGTTGCTGTCAGACTGAATGTCCTTTTCATTACAAGAGTGCACAGAAATTTTATGGAAGTAATCATTTATCTGATATGCAAGTTGAAGGAAAGAGAAACAGAGAAATTAATTTCTGGTTGATAAACTTGAATAAAGTCTTGAAAGTTTAAGGTAATCATTTTTAGATTTTCCTCCTTTTGTTGCAGAGCATTTATTATTCTATGTGGCAAAATCTCTCTGAAGTTACAATTATTTACATAGCTGCTCACATAGTTCATACAGCAGCAGTGATTTCAATCTATCGCTAACTGAAGGCACAGTTGCAGTGTAGGTAAGTGTGAGTCAGAGATGCTCAAATGTACGTTGTAGCCTTCTGGAGGTGTCTTCGGTGACAGAGAATATGTGATGGGATTTGCCCACATAATTTTTTCAGTGATATTTATGCTCCCACCACATGCCCTTTTCCTCTAGCACCCGACTTCTCTAGTTGACTGGGTTGTTGCTTAATGAGAAACCAGAAAGGGCAGTGATGTTGGAGCTTATGTTCCTGTAAATGTGGCTGGTTTGTTGCCAGAAAATACTCAGCTGGTTCCATATATTGATGGGAGATTAAATATAAAACAAAAAATAAACAAAACAACAACAACAACAACAACAAAAACTGGGGGTTGAGGGTTTTGCAATGAGTACTTCAGGACTCTGATTTACCTGCAAGAGCAGCTTAGGCAGGATAAATCTCAATAATCTTTTATTTTATTATTATTTTTTTTGCGCTTAATGCAGTAATCTTTTGTTATTGTGTTGAAAATCTATTCTGTGGTCAATGATTCATTTCCTGTGATTTGAAAGTTCTTTTTTTACTTTCAAAAAAAGAACAGAAGCCAACATTGTGACCTCTTCCTAGTTCCTGTATTATTGTACTTGTAATTACAATGCAGGTCAGAAGTTTTCAATGTAATAACCATAAACACTCTTTTAAAGGTTAGACTCATGGACAGGACATGAGGCCCAACCTTGACCAAAATTTGACACCCACGTCTGACATGCCACTTGGAATTACAGTCCTTAGCCAGATCAAATGTTCAGGGCAGAAGTCACAACTAGATTAGATATGGGCCATGAAGTTTTAAAATGATAATGTCTCAGTACCAACTATAGTGATGCACTGCCAGTAGTTCTACAATCTTGCCTAAAATTTGTGAAATACATTAAAAATGATCACAATTACTAAACTGACAAACCAAACATAAAAAATGTGTGTTCCTATGAAGACCATGTCTGTATATTTCTGGACTTATCTGCTAACAGCATGATCTGTTATTTTATTAAAACATGTTCAGTTGATGCATCATGTTTTACTCTCATCACTTAAGATTTCTCACAACATTGCATATCTGACTAAAATGAAGTTCATTGTCCCACTCAGAACCCCCCAGGTTCCACTTCGGCAAGCCTGAGAACTACATCAGCATGTACCACCAGGAAGGAAGTGACACGCTTTATGTCGGCGGCCAGGCAATGATCTACGTGTTCACATTCAGTGATAAAGGGGTTGTTGACATGAAGGTAAATTCAACTAAACTGATTTTCCTGTTTGTTTGCAGTCATTCTTTATTGTTATGGTCAGTCGCATGTATGATGAGGAAATTATTGCTGTAGTAGTTGAAGCTGTGTGCTGACTCTGGATCAATCCTCTTTAGGTCCAAAAGTAATTAGTTTCTATTCAACTGAACAAAGTTGTGGCACACACCCACCTTGATTTGTTTTATACATTTGTTCAGTACTTTAATGGCTTTAGACGTGTTTGAATGTGTTTTCAGAGCCATTAGATACATTTAAAGCATAGTAGCAAATATTTGAATTTGAAGCATATTCATAGAGGATGATATCATGTGTGATCAAATGACTCGCCCAGGTACCCACTAAGCCCAAACTGCCACTGATAGCACAAGTTCCTAAATCAAGATGAAAATCTTGGTGCATGCAAAAATTGACTGTTAAAGATCCCCCCCCAGGAGTCATGGTGGCAGCTACACTAAACTGTGAAATTGGGTGTAGCACAAAAACTAGTCATTATCACAATCTGAACTGTTATCTCAAGGAAACATTGGTGGTTTTCTCAAGCTACCATGACTTTTATCTTGACAGAACAAGAGACCAGATACAAGATAAAAGAAGTTTGCTTTCCTCAAAATAATATTTCAGTCATGATTCTGGCAAAATTCTGTTCAAAATAATTGGTCATTGTCACAGCAAGTGTTCTTTATTTTATTTAATTTATTTATTTTCTGTTTGTATCGTATGTATAAATGCACTGTGAACAAGTGGTCAATATTCAAAGGTAAAGTGTCTTTAAGTCAAACAACACTCAGTTTTACTTTCTGGGCAGCTGTCAAACATAAATAATTGAGTTCATTTCCAACTCATTTTTGGTAGCAGAGCTAAATTAATATTTCTTTCCAGTTGTTAGTTTGATTTTTCTGCCGCATTATGAGAAGGTTGATGCCTCCCCTATTAGTGTTTTTCCCTGCTTGCTGTTGTCTTAGCACGGTGAGTGCAAGCTAAAGTAACAAAGGGAGTCCTCCATTCTTTGTTTAGTATTCAAATAGACAGCTGTTAGTTTTTAATTGTTGAAGGTGGAGTAATGTTCAATCATTATCCAGCACTTAACTTTTTTTTAATAAGATATAATGCAAAAATCATATCAGAGATGTGATATTTGCTCTTTATTTAAAGCAGTGAGAATCAATAAAATTTGAATGACTCTCATTTTTTACTTCATTGTGTAGTTTTCAGCTCTTATTTATTTGCATTTCATCCCTCTCAGAACTTTTAAATCTGATCACTTTCAGAGGAAGTGCAGTTTGTCAGTAGTGCTGAAGTTCATGCATATAGTTTCATTAATGTTTCTTCATTCCCCTAAAATCTTTCTACTGTTGACTTTTGGAGTTTGCTTTCTGATTAATCTAAGTGTGGTTGCCATTTTGTTCCAACTATGTGACGTGGTGAACCTTGTATGCCAAGGGAGATGTAATGGTTGACCCACTGCTGACCCTGAGCAGCAGCTGTGATCCTGAGAAGACTGTGGAAATTAGGTCATGCATACAATAATGAAGCTGCAGCTATTTGTCAGCTTCATTATTCATTAGCTATTTAACTGAGCTAATGTTGCCTTAAGAATCTTACAGCACTATACTAGCTGGCCAAAAGAATGAAGAGATCTTTTCTAATATGTTTGCAGTCTGAGTGTGCTGGATTGTCCTTCAACATAATGAAAAGGAATAAAAAGATCTGTAAAGATTGCTTCATTTTTCTAAATGACACAAATGTCTGGAAAGTGAAAACACCAGTAAATATCAGGTTTAATGGTGATAAAAATGTTTTTATTAATCATTTCTAAGACTTTTCATATAAATTGTGACATTTATTCTGTAAAATTGAACCAAAAATATTTTGGAGGATGATAAAAACAGCAGCTAAAAACTCGCTGCATCAACATGAACACCATTAAAGTAAGACTTTCTTGAATCATCTTTTGACTCAGTTTCAACATTTAGTTCACAAATGTTACCAATTAAGCTGAAATATAGTCTTTTCTTCATTTGTTTATTTGCATAATTCAGCTAAAGCTGAAATATTCAGAAGGATTTAAACTGACATAAGTTCTTCAAACTTCTTTCAGTTTGAAGAAGGGACAGACAACTTTTAATCTTAAGTCCAAAAGGAAAGTTTGGCACAAATTGGTCAGCATTTCACCAAAGGAACACCATACCCAAAGTGAATTATGGTTGTGGTAGAATCATGGTCTGCTTTCTTTAGATGATACTCAATGAGTTGTCATTTTAGGTGAAATCATGAAAACCACCAATCAGTGTTGACACAAAACATGTCACATATTCTGACTGTCCTTTAAAGGACAGTCAGAATAATTTTCAGCTTCACTCTGAGTACAAGTATACATCAAAAGTCAAGAACAGAATACTTTCACCAGAATAAAATTAAAAGTTTTCAAAATTCAGAGCAAAATCTGACAGAACATCTTTGTGGTCACTTAAGGAAGGAAAGGAGGTGATCTCCAACAAGTTGGGCAATTTTTCTAGGTCAACATGTGAGGTAGTAAAAGACTAGACGCTGAAATTAAATGAAAATGTGTTTCTACAAAGTACTAGTAGATGAGTGCACTTGTCTCAACTTATGGGTGGTATCTGTTGTATTTTTTAAAATATTTTTTCATCAAACTGATTTGTTTTGTAGCTGAATTGTCCAGAATAAATCTCACACTGTATCTGGAAATGATTTATCTTAATCTTATTCTGTACCTCACAAAATTTTGCCATTTTAACAGGGATGTTTAAACTTTTCAAAACCTTGATATCTGTCGTAAAAAAAAGTTAAATTACACGTTGCCTGTTATTTCTGATAAAGAGTGATTTAATGAAACACAGTGGGATGAAAGTTAGTATTTTATTACATGGAAGCATCAAAAGCAAAGACCAATTTATTTTATGTAAAAATGAAAGAACCAAAACATGAAAGGCTTAGAAACAATCCTCAGATTTTCATTGATGAACCAATTACATCAAAAGATTGTCTTTGTAATGTCATATGAATAATGTGCTGCAGATTTGCTTAGAGGAGTTGGAAATGTCAAGGCAGGCTGAGGAAAAGCACACATTTAATGAGAAGTATAAAAAAATAGAGAGAGAATGAAATATCTCAGATCCTGAGAAAAAGCAAGCAATATGAATGTCATCTGTGAGGACTGTGTTCTAGAGGCTGTTGCGAGACTGAAAGAGTTTAGTGTGAAATAACTTGGCACAAAATAAGCCGCCCTTCCTCCCACAGATCCCAGCGGCATCGGATCAGACTGCAATTGATACCTGCAAGGCAAAAGCTTCTCCAGATGAGGTAAAAACTCATCCTCACTGTCAGAACCTCCATCGCTTCTGCACAGCCCTAACCAGCTCAATCAGTGCATTTGTCTCACTAGCATGCTGTTTCTCATCACCATTATATTCAGCACAATAAGACTTCTTTTCCAACACCGTATGACTGCAAAAGAACTATATTTCTAGACTTGGATGAACCAGATAAACATACAATGATACATAAAGACATCAACAAGTGGTAATTTATGTAGATGGAAAACAATTACACATGAGATGGTCCCACCTCAAAACAAACACTGCACACTTGACTGAGCATTTAATTGCACTGAATAATTTACATCAAGTTCTCAGATAGAAAAAGAGATATTATATTTTACAAAACATGCAAACTTGTCTCAGAAAATACTTTATTTTTAAAGTAAAGCCTTTTCACAGGATTCCCAACGACTGAAAGCTTGTGGTAAATCCACTTCAGTGTAGGATGTAAGAAGCTTCTGGAAAGGACAGTGAGAGGAGCTGAAAGAATCATTAAAGTGTCACAACTGTCTTCATGAACCTATTGAATTCCTACCATTAGGTCAACAGTATGACAACTTTAAAAGTAAAAAACAATTTACCAGTTTGTTTTTTTCAAAATGCATATATTTTTCTTTTAATTTAGACTCAAGTTAGAATCCTTACTAGAAACCTGAAAACATATTGAAAAAATATTTTTTTTCTGAGAAAAAAGGCATTCAACATCATGTTTATGGTCTCAGTCCTTGGTGGGAGAAGTAGCTGGACCTTCTACATGATAGTGCCTGAAGGTGCATTGTTTTATTATTCATGTTAGTGACTCCTCTCACAATAGCTTCTGCATTCCCCTGAATAAATACATATATTACCAGAGAATACAGCTTCTAGTTCAGTCCTGGAATTTATTTTGTAACAGTCTAAAGATTCTTATGTCTCCTGATATGACTGCTTGGTGCATCAACCTTACTCATGTTTGGAAATTAATCTCTAACAGTATCCTGTGGCTGATTGTTCTGTTGTTTTATGTGGGGCGAGGATTTAGCAGGACATGTTTCATTGTTTTTGCTTTGGTTTAATCTTCTTGTTACAGTTTGAACCTGCTCTGCTTCTGACACCGGTATGCCACCGACGTCACAGGAGCGCAGGGAAACAAAAGCTTTAATGCAATTTTTCAGTCAACACACACAGTACTGCATGTTTTCGGCTTGCAGCTTTAATAAACCACCGTCTCAGTCTGACAGCTGTGTCATCCCGAGGCTGCGGTGTTACTCACAGCTACACAGTGTCAGTGGTGACTACCGCGAGCTGATCTGCCACTGATTATGTTCTGAAGCCCCCTCTCCAACTTATGCCACATTATAAATAAATCCATAGCAGACTAGCCCTATGCCTTTAGGAAAATGTAACAGTTGTTTCAGGTGTAATTCTTAAAAAGCATTTGCATTGATGTTTACTACTGAAATTGAAGAATTTAAAGTCTATACAGAAATAGAAAAATAAACATTTATTACAGTTCATAAAGTTGATAATCCATACCACTCTGTGTTATGTTTCTTAACTAATGCCTCTTTTTACACACATCACTGTAGTCTGGTGTCTTCAAAAGCAAAGGTAAACTCACTAGTATGTGTTGGTTTATGTTTAATAGGTTTATCGCTGCCCTATCTTTGATTTCCAATAATCTGTGCTCTGCCCAACACATTATGGTCAATGTTCCCACAATTAAATCAAAATATGGAGAAATAATACAAAGGTACTCAGTAAAGACCTTACAATATTTTCTCAGATGATTCAACAACAAGACTCCACAGCATAACATAAGATGAACCAGGACTAGTGAATTTGGTCTGACATCGATAGTTTTTTTTTTGTGAGAGTTTGATTGACTTCACCCTTTACTCTGACATTCACACTGCATCCTGCCTGTCTCAGTGTTTGATGTGATGTGTTCAGTCTGCACTCATCTCTGGCTCGGCCCAACAGATTCATGAGAGAGACTCAAGTTCAGTGTTTTAACACTTCTGTTGTATGTTTATATTAAACTATTCATCTTTTACAGCAAATAGATAGTTAGAATGCATGTACTTGTGAAACTTGGAATTCAGATAAAACGTGAGCAAAAGAAGCATGTTTCAACTTCTGTGTTGCAAGCAACACAGAAGGTTAGATGGGGATGAATCAAACATTCTGCATGTGGGAACTCTGTCTACCTCTGCATAAGTTTATCAGGAGCACATACACTGTGTCTTGGGGCTGAACATGACAGTTCTTCCTGAACACAGAAGGAGTAAAAAAAAAAAACACCTACAAAAAAACGTACAAAGTCTGAATGACTCAATCAAATCTCACCTGGGGCTTTTCAGACTGATACAAAAACACTCCCACTCTTGAAGATAGGTTTATTAATTCCAGGTGGTATTAATCAGTGTGTAAAACCATCTCTGTAATGTGTTTTTCACTCTTGGTGAGCGATCTTTGGTGATCATGCTGTGGACATGGAAACTACTGTGTGTTTAGAGAAGGTGTATGGGGACCTCATTATAGTTCCCAGTCAATTTCTCTGTTATCAGGGGATTAAAGCCAAACTTTGTCACAGGTAATTGAAATGTCAAATAGTTGTTTAAGTAAATGTGACATACACTGTTTAAATCCACACAACTACAGTGGCTTGCTATCACTCACAGTTCTTTCAATATATCATAACCACAAGCTGCAATTTATCAACTAGAAACATATTTTTTTCAAGAGATATGTTTATATTTTAATAGTTCCTCGTTTGAATTTCTTAAAGTGGTTGCACAAGTGCTCAAAAACAACATAAAACATAAACATCATGTGAAATGAACAGAAATGTCAAAGGATTTGGTTAAGGGGTGACATGTACCAGCAACTATGTCTTTCAAAAACTGAAATGCGCTTGGACACAAAATAAACGAAGCTAAGTAAAATAAAATCTCATCCCACTCTACCACCTATCCAACCACCTACATACCCACCTACACACGTCCAATCCTCGTTCTGAATTTTAGCAATGCTTCTCTATCATCACTGGATATGTATCTAAACTGATGTTCTCAATATTTTCAACATGAGAAGAAAAAAAAACACCTCTTCAGACACACTTGAAAAATCTTAAACAAAAGTTCCTAAAAAATATCATTTATTAAGAATATTTCTGTAACCATATTCATTCTGGATCCATTTGTGTACAGTTCAGTCCATTATTTGTCCCTATTGATGAAGTGATGCATATGCAGCATTGCAGTATTGTACTGCAGGTCTAAGCCTTTTTTGTCTGCTAAATGTGCCAAGCCTGGATAGCTTCCAATCTTTTCTCAGCAGCCCATTTTTCTCCAGTAATCTGTTTATTTTCTGTTGCACTTCTGCTTTGTTTCTCCATCCCTCTATTCTACCTTCCACTGCTTGAGTCCCGTGGTACACTTTCTGTTGTCTTTCATTTTCTTCTCTTTTTCCTTTAATCCCCCTTTCTCCCTTTTCCATTTCTCTCCCGTCCTCTTTAATCCTTAGACCCTGAAAGAAACGGCATATTTTACTCCTCTATCCTCTGCATCCTTCCATGATGTCTTCCCCTTTTCTGTCTCACTCACTTTCTTTTTCTCCAACAGATGGAGTGCGACAATTTCATCACCGTCCTTCAGAAAGTTAATGACACATTCATAGTTTGTGGGACGAATGCTGGAAGCCCTAGATGCTGGATGCTGGTAAATATCTACAGATAAATTCTTTTGAGTTTCCCTGCCTCTGTTTCTGCTGCCATAATTGCTTTCTGCAATAAATCGAGCCATCTGTAGAGCAAACAGGATTTATCTATTTCCTGACTTATTTCTTCTGTTCATAAAATGAAGGCTAACAGCTATTTACACTCAAAGAGAATGTTCTTACTTCGATATGATACTTCACAGATAAATTGAAGTTTACCCAGTGAGTGAAGGGTAAAACATGTAATGAGACAGACCTCAAGGAGACCTCCACTTGTCTGTAATATCTTGCACCTTCCCGCTGCAGGTAAACGACACAGTGCTGACAGACGTCCAAGGCGGTGGGATGATAGCGCCAGCCTCTCACATCTCACCTCCCTACCCTTCGCAGAAGTCAATCAACTTGCCTGCAGGTAATGAACTCCAAACACAAAAACCCTTTTCCTTTCAAAAATTCAGGCTTAGATGAAAAGAGAGGAACATCAAAGATTTCATTTGCAATTTAATATCTGAGGAAGCAACTGCTGCAAAACATCAGACTCTGGGTGGTGGTCATTTAACAGTTGGTGGAAAATCTGAGTGATTTGGAGAACTGGTTCTAAATTAGAAATACTTACTGAATCCATTTTACACCCAATGAGTTACATTTGCAGGGAAGAGAATGAAAACATGGAAGTAAGATAAAAGGCAGCCAAGGGATAGTGTATGTGGAAATGATGTATATTTTTATGCATGTTCTTTGCATGTCAAGTCAAGTTCAAGTTTATTTGTAAGGCACTTTTCAGCAATAAGGCAGTTCAAAGGGCCTTACCCCATTTTGTCAAATGTCATCATTAAAATCATCATGCAAATACATCAAATATACAGTCAACATGTCTAACAAGAAGAGTGCAATGTTATTTCTCTAAGCCATGCTTAGGATCTCCACGGTGCCTTAAAATTATTAAATGTTATTTTCAAAATAAAATAAGCAGACATGTCATGGTGTTGGAGATTACTTTTTGCAAATAGCTTTGGCAGTGACTGAACTTCATTCATTCACTCTTAGTTTTTTACCACTCATGTACTGTAAAGCATAAAGTTTTGCTACCCCTTGCATATTTAGTTTAAAGTGATTTTTGAAATTCACCAACATATTTTTTTTGACTTGAAATAATATTAATGGTTCGCCCATACTTGTATCTGATGCAGAATCTCTTTCTATGTATTTTCTTTTTCTGTACATTAAATCTAAATCTAACTTCCATGCATTTGTTTGAGGCATAGAGATGAGCAAGATAAATATTATTTGGGGAGTGAGTGTTTTAATGCAGTAGAAATTAGAAATGAATGAGTAGATCGATTTTCTTTAGCATTTAGTTCTCTAAAAGTGTTTCAATCTATTTCTAAAACTGTCTCCTTGGCTCCTGTCTTACTCTGGAGTACAGCCACCTTCAGCTCTTCATATTAAATCGGCCTCTTTGTGTCAGGAGCAACAACGTGACACTTGTGAATCCTGGGCTGCCAAGAGCAATCTTACTCTCATGATCATCTTCTATTTATGTCATGAAGATGACTAAAGATTTCTTTTCTCTGAAGCCCCTCGTAATATTAGGTGTAAAATGCTTTTTGATGGTTATACAGAGTCACCCTAAAAGTTCTTATGTTGCCTGGGACTGAAAGCTCTGATTTATTTAGACTCATAATCAAACTATAGTTTGCATCTTTATTATTAAGTTATATTTGGTCATAGTTGGAACTTAATCACATAAAAGGTTTATTAATGTTGACTAAGAAAATATTTGTTCTAAAATCCACTGTGGGCTGAATAACTTGAGTCATTTTGCAATATAAATAAAGTAACTCATTTTGGCAGATTACTAATCCTAACATAAGAATAAATTACTTATTTGTATCAAAGGATTTCTTAAGCAACAGCTGAAGACAAGAATTGAAAATCACGACCAGTAAATCCAAATGAAATATTGAGTTCCAGTTGAACACAAAGTTTGCTACTATATCATCTCATATGTGCTCCAAATTCATAGTAGAAAACCAGTAGGATTTAGTCATTATTGCGCTCAGTGACCAGGGAAGAATTCTGGTAAGAATAAATTGAGTTGCACTTGCATGTATTCAGACTCTGTACCAGAACGTTTATTCATAAAGGAAGTGACATGGTACAATATACAAGACAGATTTATTGAGTTAAAACTAAACCAGTAGAAATCCAATTTTTTTCTTATAGATTGAATGCAGTTTTATCATTAGGGCAGACATGTTTTATGTTGAGGTCAATTTAGTAAAGACACTGTACTAAATTGTGCTATAGTAAGTTTTTGAGACCAGTTTCATTTTCTTTTTGCTTCATCCAAGGATACAAATCCTATCATAAATTTTAAAAAGAAAAACTTACCAGCTTTGCTACCCAGCTTTTGTTTGGTCCCCAGTTAAGACTTAGATAATGCATACATTAATCTTAGTAAACTTAGTATTTTGTTATTACTCGGCATCAAAGATCGTCGAACCTGATGTGAATGGTATAACAACATCTGACCTATTTCTGTAAAGATTTTTACTTAATATTTTTTCAAATCTACCTTAGATTTCTTTTTTATGTAATGACAGTTTATATATAAGGCTGGATTTTCTTGCGTTTCACAATTATAAAGCTTCACAACACAAAAAATAAGGCTCTTAAATGAAACTTCTAAATGTGTAGGTATAAAGTCTTGCATAACATTGCCTAAATAGAGCTGTATCTAATTAAACTGACCTTCAGGAGTCATTCTGCATGAAGAGGGACTTGCAAATGGTGTGTTTCTTCAACCATCTCATGCAGATGAGCTGTTTGAAGAGGCACTTAAATCAGTGAGGGTTTGGCTGTGCTGCGGGATGCTCCTCCACATGGGGGGGTTGATTGTGCAATGAGTCGACCCCTTTGCTTGAGCTCAGTGGCATCTACATACTGATCAGTCCTGATTAAGATGTTACAGCCATGATTTCAAATGCTTCCCCCTCTGCATTGCTATGGAGACAGAGCTCTCTATTGGATAGCAATAATATGGTCATTTGTAGCTCTTGGAAGCAAAGGCTGCTCTGTTTTGTAATGTTATCTTGACTTTGCGCTTGTCTCCCTGTTCTCTGCCCTGCTTTTTTTAATATTTTGTCTTCATCTTCCAGGCCTGACTTTTCCCCTCTAAACTCTGTATTTAATGTTCTCTCCTCTTTGTCTTTCCCTTTTTTCACCATATTTAATTCTCTTCTTGTGTCACTCCAGGCACTCCTCTCCTTCATTTCAACCTTGTACTGATTCGTCAAGTGTGCCTCGTTTTTTTATTACCTGCCACTCACCATTTCTTCTCCTGTGCGTCTTTTGTTTTTTCTGCCTGTCTAAGATGGGAATCTGTACTCGGCCATGTCATCAGTGGGAGGTTTTCCCGGCTCGATCCGTCGTACATTTGGCTCCAACAAACTCCTGAAGACGGAAAATGTTTGGCTGCTGAGTGAGTAGGTCGGGGGTGTGGGGAGTCACGCAGAAGGTGTACACGTTTAGCTAATTGCATATGGAGATGGTGGGTGGTGCTCTCTGTAAATCATCTACAGTCGTTCCCATAGGGATAAAACCATGTAGGTGTATTCACGACTGCTGTCAAACTGTCTTTCCACTCAGATCCTCCTGTAGAATCTCACATGGTTCTCTTTTAAGATAGGAAATAACTGCAAAAAATTGAAGTAATAATTTTAGCTTAAACATTGATGTATTTGATCTCTGTGGATATATTTAAATCTCACCGTAGATCCTCAGTTTGCTGGAGCAACAATAATCCCTGCCTCGGAAAAATACAAAGAGGAGATCTATTTCTTCTTCACGGAGTTCAACAAGACAGCCCGAGTGGATGAGGAGCCATACAGGGCCCGCATAGGTCGAATCTGCACGGTAAAGAGTCTGCATACAGTTTTTACCAAATTTATATACACCATGTATAAATAAGCATAAAATCCAATATTTTCTGTGTCAGATAAGCTAGAATTACCTAAATTAATATTTGCCAAGCATCAGCCCAACATACAGCATATACAAACTTCTAAATTCATGTGTCTATGCTTTTCAGTAAATTTGGCAGTATCAGTAGCTCCAAATCCTGTTGGAAATCTTCCCACTCTTCCATTTTTAGTCCTGTTCACAGATGTTCAGACTCTAGCTGGGTCACAGCAAGAGATCTACAGAAGCCACTTGTGTCCTTTATTGGTGGTGCACTCATGGTTGATTGAGAAAATGTAAATCTTCACTCTGACTTAAAGAAACACTCCCCCATTCCCAGTAATAATTAAAAAATCTTACAATATCTCATTCATTACCAGCGTAATTTTATTTCGACATAAAAATTAAAATCTAGGTTGCCAACATGCTCCTTTTCTAAACTTGCAAATACATTGCCAATTTGGCAATGTATTTGCAAGAAAACTCCAGGCTTGTACTGAATAACAGGTATGAACACTATTCATCTGTGTACCTCAACATCTAACACAATTATTCAAAATCACATTACAAATTATATCATCATATGTGGAGTTAGAAAAGACCCAAATTCAGAGAAAAACTGTGGTTTAGCATTTAACATTCAAAGCTACTAAGACTTTGTTAATAGCTTTGAATATTGTTCATCTGTGAACAAGCAATAATGTGGGAGAGCCTCTCTGGATGAAGTGATTTGATTGAAAATAACATGAGTAGATAAGTAAAAAAAAAAAAAAAAAAAACATTAGAGGTTGCTAGCTCTACTTCTGCACCACGTTAGTTGTTTTACTGAATGAATTATTAAACCAAAAAAACACAAAATGGTGAGGCACTTGAAGATGCAGCGGCTCTCCAGGTGTGAACTACGATGCATTTCCTATAAAATTGTTTTAATGTTTTACAGTCGCTCAGAAGACTGAATCTGACATTGTAGAATGAAAAAGTAATGCTGCTTTGGTTGGAGGATGCTTTTAATCAAACGTTGCAATCAGCAGCATCAAATTGGGTGTTTTTCTAATTAGTTCTCAAAGGCAAAACACCTGCAGCTCTGTATGAGTCATGACTAAATTCAAATCAAGAACCTTAAATGTAATGAGGAAATGTTGAAGAGGTATATTTTCATATTTACGGATCAATAACAAGTCTCAGCTCTTTATGAAATGTCTTAATTTCTTAAATGATTTTATTTTAGTTAGCATTTCTTGGCTTTGAACATGAATGAGTCCACCTGTAGTAGCTCTGTCTCTAAGCAAAAGGGAAAATATAATTAAAGTTCAACAGTTTCCTTCAAACTGCAAAACCACTGATATGACTGAGATCAGTCTGGAAGGAAAACATGAAACAGGTTTTCTCCCTTTTCACCAAAGTCCCTCAGTAGAAACTGTTATTATTTCAGAGACCGCTTATTGCAATAAGTATAACTGCATTTTTAATCACTGAGCTCTAAATGAAGTAAGTTGATAATAAACATCTTGGACTTAATATCCAAAGCTTTCTAAAATAAATAGTGAAATAATTCTTTTCAGAGGGAAATGAGGTTCTGCCGCTCTGTGTTGTGGGACAGAACTGTGTCACGGGCAATAAACACAAAGCGATCAGAAACACAATCAGCCTACAGACCTGGCTGCGCCTTTGTGTCATTGTTAATAAGAGCCCTTCTGTGTTATTTCCAGGTGGATGAAGGGGGCATCAAAGCCCTCCTGCCAGAGTCTTGGACCACCTTTATGAAGGCTCGGGTGATGTGTGGTGCAGGCAACACACAGCAGCAGTACAACAACATGAAGCAGGCTGTGGTCCTGACAGCTCAGGACAAGAGGGCTGGGGTCATGTATGGCCTTTTTTCCAACGCATGGTAGGTGCAAACATGGCAACCTTTTAATTCTACCCAAAAGTATGATTGGCTCTGCAAGAAAACTAAACACATATGTACCATTTTGGAATACTGCTCCTTCGGACATGTTAAACCAATTTGAAGCGAGTGAATTCCCCAGCATAATGCTCATTGGAGTGAAGATATAATGTTGGGGTTGGATCTGGAAAACAATAAGACATACAGTGAGTGGATAGCAAGATGAATTTAATAAGACCTGGTCAAAATTCATTATTTATGCTAAGGGTATGTCAGTTATTTGCAGCTTACTGTGAGGTTTGTTTTTGTTTTTATGTGTAGATTGATATGATTTTTTTTAATTGTATGAATCAAACTATATTTTAAACAAATAAATAACTTAAATAAAATAGAACAGGTTAAACCATTCAGCCAACTTTGTGATGACTGATGTTTTATAATTTACTGATTCTGATTGCTTGAAGCTAAGCATCTGAAATGAATTTATACCTGACTGTGTTGGACTGAGCTCTAACTGACGAATTACAATGAACTCCAGCTGATGAAATAATAAAAAATAAACAAGGTTTGTACTAACTAGACCTTTCACTTTTTAAATAGCGCACCGAAATTACCTTGATTATCATCAAAGTGGTGTTAAGAGACAAATATTTTCATAAAAAATATATGATTATGCTTTGCTTTTGCCATATTACAACCACAGAGTTTAATATAATTTGAGATGTTTTGTAGTAAGTCAACAAAAGTTCAGTTCAAAATTTCTTTACAAATATAAATTTAAAACATGTGAGCTGCATTTTATTGCAGCCCTCTTTACCCTGACACTTCTAAATGAAATCAAATGCAATCAACTTTAAGAAATAAATTCCAGTTTTATGGTTTAGTCAAAGCAGACGTCTAGCAGTAATTTCTACTTCCCTCTGTTGACAAGCCTTGTGGAGATTCAAATTACTTTTGGCAGCAGGACTTGTCACCTGCCCACACTGCTAAAAGCACCATTGCTCTAAAAGCCATGACCAGAAAACTAGTCTGAACTGAATCTCATAGAGAATCTGTGGAGTGTTGTCAATAAGAAGACAAGAGGCATCAAAGCCAAGAATGGAGAGAAGCTGAAGTCCACCATTAAAGCAATCTGGACTTCCTTAACCTTAGTGCAGCGCCACCTCTGCAGTTTCTCATACTGCAAACTGAGTTTCACTTTTTGAATTGAATTACCAACAGAAATGTAGTTTTCAATGATTTTTAATTTAATAAGATGCACTTTTAGGAAACAGAAGAAGACATTTCATATGTCAAAAAGGAAGGAGTAAATGACCATGAGCAGTGACTAATCCTCGGTGCACCACAAACTAACCATTTTTTATTTATTTTTTCCCCTCCAGGAGGTTTTTGTGGGCTCTAGTGTCCCTTAGGAAATTAGGCTGACAGGAAGGGGGGAAGTAGAGGGGAGAAAACATGACGCAAATATTGTCGGGTTTGGGAATCGAACCCGTGACAAGGACTCAAGGCCTCCAAACGTGGGCCGTGCTATCTCCTACGCTACAACCAATCTAATCTGCACAGAAATTAAAAGATGTTAAATATTGGGATAACAAAGAAATGCTTCCAATTTCTTGTTTCAAGGTGAAAGGTTGAATAAATAACATAACAACCTAAATACCTTTTTGGTGATTAATTAACTTTTTCCTCCCTTTAGGGGAAGAACGGTGGTCTGTGCCTATTCCATCGAAGATATTGATCGAGCCTTCTATAATTCTAAACTGAAAGGCTACAGCACCCCATTTGGTGGCAGTCGACCAGGGACGGTAAGAAAATTTGCCTTTTTGTTCCCCTTCATTTATCACAGTGCAGAGACAATATGTGTAAAAGCAGGAGTCAGTCTGTAATTTAGTGACTAAAGTACTATTAAAAAAAAAAAAAGGCAGAAACAATTTTGTGCTCTTTATCCAGGATGTTTTGCTCTTTGTACAACCCAGTCTAATGTAAATTGGTTATTCTGCTTTTCTCTGCAGTGTGTACGTAAAAGTTCATCAGCAGAAACTCAGAACAACATCAAAAACCTTGGCGTGATCAGATACTACCCTGAAATTGAGGATGTAATTCGGCCGGTTGGTGTGAATCCACTCGACCTCCCCACAGATGATCAAATCACCCATGCTGTCGCAGATATTGTCCTGGCAGTCAATGAGGAGCATTACACTGTCCTGTACCTTGGAACAGGTACGTGTGCACATCTGTGTGTCAAAATGTTAAGAGTGGCTACATGTGTAACATTTTGTTTAGAGCTTTCATTTGTTGAAAAAATTCCATGTTTGCGCCACAAAATTTCAAAGTCTGACTGTTTTAATTCATTTTATTTATGTTCTTTCTGGAAAATCGCTTGCTCTGAACCCAGGTCTTTCATCTCCTCTCAGATCTGATTGATTCCTGACTGAATAAACTGCTACTAAAACAGGAGATCTTTTTTACTCACTATTGGTGCAGTGTTACAGTGTCAAGAATTTAATTTTTGTAACTGTTTTGTTAAACAAACAGTTTTAGAAAGTCTTACTTCAGTTAGAGTAGAGGAGAATTTATGGGATGTTTGTTTTAGTATTCATTTAATGGCAGTATTTGTGAGCTACAGTGAACTAAACTAATGTTGACACTATTGATCATTGTCATCAGCAGACACAAATAGGTCAATAGAAAAATTATATATATATATAACTTATAAAAGTTTTTTATAAGTTGATTCACTTGCTCTCGGTTCAGTTTTAGTGCAGGTCAAAAGCATATGAATACAACCAAAGTAAAATGTCTAGTGCTAGCGGGTTAAATGGCTCTTTGCCATTTTACAAAGACAACAGAAAAACCTTATAACTGCTAATATTTAACACCACTTCATTTTTGTTTACATTTTGTGAAGAAGCAATTTGCAGTTTAGTATTTTCTTCAGTGGGTTTTGGCACAGCATCACCACAGGTGAGGGGGTAAACAAGTTACTCAAAGCTTTTGGTTTGTTTGACACAGTGCAATGTGGAAATAAACTGCACTGTTTGAAATTGTAGTAAATGTTGCCATTTTCGTCTCCAGTTGAACCAGATTATCAGGTGTGGCGACACCTTTAGTGCGTGTTGACAAGAGCAAGAGAGATAACGTATGAAGGACTAAACAGAATTAGAGATGTCTAAAAATACGTATTGCACTACATGACTACTGAGCTAAAACTGCAGAATTTTCAAAAAATATTTTTTTTCAAAATTGTGTCCACATACATTCGAAGAGTTGCCATCTGCCACCTCTCTTCGGTCAAAGCAGTGACTCTGAGGCACAGCTGTTGCTTGTAGCAGTTCATCTAAAAATTGTGTTGCGCTTCAAGAGCACTGCTATGGCAACCATCACAACTTGCATCCTCGTGCTCTGTATGATCTGAATGTGTCATAACTCTGAAGTTCACCAAAAAGATGTTTGTCGGTTCTCTCATTTCTACAGTGACTGTGTTCCTGTCACTCGTCAGGCCTTTCTGGGTTGGGTGTATTTTTAGCAGACAGAAACGAATGTAAAATAAAAAAAAAAAAAGAAAAGAAAAGATTGATGGCCGCTCACTGTGGGCTTTACTAACTGTGTCAGTTATAGCTGTGGAAGGAGACAGTAATGAACAGCTGTGGATTTCTATGCTGGCCTAAAAAGAAAGTAGAACAGTTTGGCCTCTTCCAACTGAGGCCAAGGAAAACATTGCATTAGAAATGTATTTTTTTTTTATCCTTTTAAAAAAAATTTTTTATGTATTTATTTTCTGCACCAATAGATGTGGGCAGTGTCATTTGTGGATAAACTTTTGCCATGAAAGGTTCTCACTTTGAACACCTTTGATGTCACCTTGCCTTCACTCAGTGTGCAGGGTGTTAATATTCATCATGCACCAAGTGAAGCTCATCAGTCATCATAATTACTTTCAAAGAGCCTTTTATATTTGTGCAAATCATGGAGAGAAGTTACCTCTATGAAATTATTCAGCGTCAAATAAGGGAAACAGGATTAGATTCTAAAAGTCAAAGCCAATCATATGAGCAGCTGTGGGTTTGCATTGAGTCCAGTGATGGTAAAACAAAAAGACATTTTGGCAGACTGGGCTTATAACTCCTCACTGCTGAGGAAGAGTCCCAAAAATATGTTTCATAAATATAAATGAGGCACAAGCCATAACTTTAGTAATTCTTGCTTACAAAGTGAAACAAGACAACTACATACAGTTCTAACCAGAAGGGTACATACACTGTATAAACAAACACGTTTTTCAATGTCAGATATTAAATTAGACTAATCTTCCACTGTCAGTAGGTGAGTTTCAATTTCCAAAATAATTTCTGTTTTCTAAATACCTGAAAAATAAAATACATTTTGTTTTTTCCCCCTTTGAATTACGTAAAATGCGTCTATAAAAATTTCTAATTTGAAGATCCTTTCGAAAACTTTGCATCATAGTTTGAAGGAATTTTGACCTTTTGCTCCTGTCTGACCTAAATTGAGACAAGATGACCAGTTCAAACCATTTACATTTTGCTTAAAGATATTTTTTAAACGTTGGTGTTATGACTGGCATCATTGTTCTTTTTGTGTCAGAGCTTCAACCCTTTCTGGCTGAAGTCTAGAGAGTAACTGCTCCTTCCTCGCTGATGCCTTTTCAGCCCATGTTGGTACTGGAAACCCTTTTACTGGTGGACTCAGTTTTAGTTTATTCACATAGTAATTTTAAATATTAATAATTGTCGACGTGAAACAAAATAAAATGAAGAAAAAACATTGCAAGAAATTTGTCAATGTGTAACAAAACACATCTTTGACAATATTGGTAAAAAATATTTATATCAGAATGGTGTGTTTTTTATTATTTGTTTTTATCTAGGTTTTGCCTGAGAAAACAACATCATTTGAACATCATGTTCAAATCATAAAACAAATTACACAAGTTTAATGTCACTGAGAAGAAGCTTCTGGTTTCAATTATAAGTCTGTCTGAAGTTGCATTTCAGATATATCAATATATGTCAGATATGAAATGTCTATTGGACAGGGACCACAGAATATGTTTAAATCTATACATTTTAAATTGGATCTTAAAATCGGATGACATTTGATTCTTTGAAAATAAGTTTTCCAAGTTATTTTCAAATTAATTGCCATAAAGTAGAAAAAACAGTTATTATTCAGTTTTCAGTTTTAATAATGCGGCTAGATACAAATCTTGTTTATAACCAGAAAGTCTCCTGGGTTTGGAAGCTAAAATAAATTATGTAAGAGCCCTTCCTTTGAACAAACTAACAAAGTGTTGCCATGCTCCTAATAAGTAAAAGCACAGTTTACTATGATTTAAACACCTTGTACTCGTCCTACTGGTATACAGTGAACGAAGCCAGCAGGGTGAAGCAGTATTTCACTAAATTCATTTCTTCAGCTTTTGATCATGACCCAGGAAACATTTAAAAGGATTAAATTGATTTTTAATATACCAGTTCATGTTTTTTTTTTTTTTTATCTGTAGCCACCAAAACAAAACAAGGACATATTGTGTTTTCCTTGAATAATCCTGTGAAAGGTAAATAATTGGTGCAAAGGCTTTATTTTTCCACATAAAGTTAACTTTATTCATTTTAAACCACAATGAAATGAGATTGGAATTAAAACTGTTGGTATCTTGTTACGGATACTAATTTCACTGAAGCTATATTTTATCACGAGTATCATAAAGAGGTGAGTCACAGAACTTCACCAAAGGGCTAACTTGCATCTGTGTATTCATGAAAAATAAATGTATAAAGTTGACGCAATTCCACAGGGATTTGTGTGGGAGCTCAGAAGAACGCTTAAGTGATGCCTCTTAAACTTTGAGAGCAATATGAAAACAAAATCACAGGGGTGGATGTGAGGAAATATTCACATGAGACCTCTGCCAAACTCCAAGTGTCTACTTGTCTATTATAACTAAGGGAAAACACGGACTTAAAAAAGTAGCATTAGTTTAGAGATTCACTTGCTCCTTGGTATGGCAATGCAATACGATGGAAAGCTCACAGATAATCCTTTTTTAAAAGAAGCTCTCAGAGCTTTTGCTGCACTTCAGGCTGAGCCAAGAGAAGTGCAAATGGATTCTGAAAAGCAATGCAGATGAACCCTTTCAGAAGTACTTAGGCCAAACAAATAAGCTGCTTTTATTTAACTTATATTTTCTTAACTATGGGATCTTGATTTCTTTTTAAAAAAAGTTATTTTCATCAGGATAATATGATTGTAAAACCAGTAGTACAAACCTGTAATTTAGAGATGCAACAATCAGACATTTTGTATTAACTTTACTCTTTTAGAGGATATATTGTTTATTTTTGTTTTTGTTTTTTTTTACATATTACAGGTTTCAAATGTGGCATAGCCTAAGCACTTCCCCTACAAATACAAATCAGTCTTTTCTACTGACAAATATATTAAATTACTAAAGTAACTTTGTGATCAACCATTAATTATTTCCATAAAAAGCAGAAGCTGCACTGAAGTTTATAAAACTAGTTTATGTCATAAAACTAACTTTTTGGCTCACAATCACAAGCTGATACATTATTGAGCAAACTGGTCTCAGTCTAAAATTACCATGTATAAATCTACTATTGTTTATATTTTTCATCTTAAGTCAATTAGGCTGTAAACAAAATGTTATGCAAATAATTTTGGCAGTGATTTGATCTGAAATTAAGGGGATTTATTTTCTTCTGAAAATTGACTTTATTTAGGTCCCCTGTTAATGACCTTGAACATGTGATAAAACTGACTTTTCTGTTTTTATTTCAATATTGTTTCTTTAGAAGACAGGATATAGCATGCAATATTTTTATACCCACTAAAAACTAGAAGTGCACCATATTATTAGGCTACCGTTTTATCACATGATCTATTTGAAATAAACATCTTCGACAACATTTTCTGCTTCATCATATTGTGTGACAGAGAATTGGATTCTTCTAGCTTTATTAAAGAAAATGGAAAGAACTGCATCAAATACGCATAAGAGCAGCAATATTGTAGTTCGATGTCTGAAAGGTGCTGTGAGCCCTAAGAAGTTCCTACGAAGGTCTACTATTGAAGTAACAATAGTAGACCCGTAAAAGCTTACAGAGTAACTGAAACAGTCAATATATCCATCAGTAGACTGTAACGTGTGAAAAAAGTAAGGACCCATACTAAAAAGATTTATTTTACCTCAGTGAGTCAGTGACAGATTGACGATCACAGGCATAACGTGGTTTTGAGTGTTTTGGCCATTGAGGTTATACAGAAGCTTTCCTCAGGGCTGAAGAAATGTTCAAGATATTTATCTGTTTCAGCCTGACTTCATGTTCCAGATTAGAAGTTATATTTCTTTATTTGCTGCTGTGCTTGGAAAGTCACACAAGAGAGGCCCATGTAGTTCATCAAAATTTCAGTCAGGAAAGAGTATCAAAATTGGAAGAAGTAAAACAGATTATTTTTGTGAAATAAGGGGATGTTTGAGTCAAAGCTGTAAAAAATCTTCCCTAGTTTTTTGTCTTCTTCTAATTAAAAATAAACTTGTGTAATTGTGGAGATTTAAAGTGTGAAGCTTTTTACCTTTGAGCAAATGTCCCCTCAGCAGCTTCTGCCTGGATAAATATAGCTAAAAACAGATTTACCAAGCAGATGTCACAGGAGTTCAGTAACGTCACCCTTTCCCCTTCAGCTATTTCTTTTTGTGCTGATACGCTGGTTTGATAAAAGAGCTGAAAATAGCTGCAGACTGGATTAAAGAATCGTGAGAATAAACAGGAAAGAATGGAGAAAATTATCTTTGACAACACAGTAGGATTTGAAGTCCATGAAAAGAGAGACAAAAGAAAACCAAGTGACAGCAAGAACCTGATTGTCTGATAATAAATGAGAAATTGCCTGACAGGCAGAGTATTCAGGAAATGAAAATGTGCAATAAAAGGCAATCCAGTTTGCCCTTTTTTTATAGTGGAGAAGGTAAAACAATCTTTTATGTGACCAAAGACCCAAAAAAAAAAAAAGATATGTGGGACTAATTTTTACATCAATCTGACAGGTTATCTGGACAAGAAGAAGTTGTTTGTAGATTGTTAAGATAAATGTTGAGAAGACAAATGAACTAATAGAAATAAAACTCTGCAGGGAAATAGCAACCTAAGGTGGCAAGAATGAGATACTGTAAACAATGTAAGCTGTGGCAGCTCAGATGGTAGGGCACAGCCTGTTGGGCAAAAAAGTGATTGCTCATTGCTGAAAATAATGACTCATCGTCTTTCAAACTGTGAGGGCATGCACTATTGACTAACAGAGTAAAGCTGTACAGTCATGTCTGGAATTTCAGCTGCATCTTTTTATCTGTTGGAACTTTGCGCACTTTTATTCATAGAACAGACAAAACACCATTTTCCATTTTAAATTCCAAAGCTTCAGACATAATTTGTGTAGTGTTAAAAGACAATGCTTGTTGATGAAAACAAAAACACAAATGGACACAAATGGTGAAATTGGTGAATCGAAACAATTTAGTCATTTAACGTAGCAACATGAATACATTTCATTAAGTCAGAGGTTTATCTTGCTTTTTCCCTCAGCCTGCTGCGCATTAGAGCAGAACTTTGAATCCAGACAGCAGACCAATAAATGAGTTTCTTGGTAATCAGCTCCCTTGTCATTCTGTTAGAGCAGTGACATGCTACATCCACAAGCGTATTTACATATTCAAAAGATGCATTGACTTAAACAGCCATGGGACAAAAGAAACTTTCAATGAGTGTCACTTTGTTCTTGGAAAAAATTAAGCACGTAAAATCCCAGTGAAGGCAGTAAACCTCCAACTGAGAATAAATCTTTCATGAGTTATGTGAAACAGTCATCTGCCCCATCTAAATGTATTAGACCAACAGTAATTGTTAATTAAACATCAAGACTGTTTTCATATATACACTCAAAAAATTGACCCCAAAAATAGCAGAAGGAAAAAATGAATACATAAAAAAGACAGCTTTTCACTTGTTTGAAATGAAAACATTATCTGACACATGCACATTAATGCGTTAAATTGAAATTACCAGTTGAAAATCTGTCACATTGCATAATAATGACTGCCACTTAAGCTAAGCAAAGAAAAGTGAAATCCATCAAATTTTAAAGTTTGAGTGGCACCAAAGGGTTTTCTTTTGATGTGATTAAATAACTTCACAGCTAACCTCCTCAATCTATATCAAGTGTGTTCTCCTTTTTCATTTCTGCAGATCAAGGCAAAGTTCTCAAGGTTCTTCACACCATCCAGGATGTCTTCATCATATCTCAGTATTCTCTGTTCCACAACGAAGGGCCTGTTCTGAATATGGCCATCGACTCACAAAAGGTACAAGTGATGCTTCAATAAAACATAGTAAAGGCTTATTTAGGTGAATTTATGCTTTTAATAACTCTTTTTCTTAAAGAAATAAAAGAACAGCTGCAGAAACCTCTTTAAAAAACATAGCAAAGAAAATCTTTTCTGTATCGATGTCTCCTGCATGTGACCCGATTCTGTCAGTGAAAAGGGAGAAATTCAGCTTTCATTTATACCACTGATAAAGCTTAAACATCCACATACACATAATTTATTGATTGAATACGCCAGATGTGATAAACTCACAACAAGCAGCTCATTCAAAGCTTGTCTTTAGAAGATGCAATTGTTTACGCTCAGGTTCAAACAAAATGGCTACATAAAAACTTTTTAAAATAATGTATTGGTGAAAATGTGTAGAAAACTTCACAATACTTATTTTGTTTCAGTATTGACATAAGTGTCTCGCTCCAGTCTTCGTGGGCTGGTGTCCTGGCAGTTTTAATTGTGTCTGCTCCAAAAGTGCTGATTCAAATGGTCCATTTATCTCCTTCTGTATGCCACAGTTTACAGAGGCCTGTTAATGAACCAGGCCTCTGATTCAGGTTGATGAACCAGGGAAAGAACTAAAACATGCATAATACTTGAGTCCTGAGTTTGGACACCACTGATCTAGCACAACAAAGATTGGTGGCATTCAGTGGTAAATGTATAATAAATCAATTAATCTTTTTCTCTCTAGGGTCACTTGTATGTTGGTACCGCCATGGAAGTCCAGCGTCTGCCATTGGCTGACTGCAAGCGCTATGGCCACACGTGCAGAGAGTGCATTCTTTCCAGGGATCCATACTGTGGCTGGGACAAGGCCAGGAGGAAGTGCATCGCCATCCCGCCCGGATACAACGTCACAACTGGGTAAGTTTAGATGTGATGTCATCACTGCTACACTATTGGCTGATCTAATTTGCTACCAAGATACTTTATCAGTTAAGTTTCTTAAACACCTTTCAAGACTCTCAGGAGAAATGCCTATATGGTTGAGTAATAAGCTCCTGTTCTAGAATATTAAAACTGGCTTCAAATAACAAGACAGATAAAAAATAAATAAAGAATGAGATTATCAAATGTAAAGCAATGTTACATTATGACTGTGAAGCTTTTCTCTACCGTATTTCCAATATAAAAACAATAGCAACAACCTAGCATATGAATAATTTCTCTTTTTTCTCCTTATTTTTGCGGTTATGGCTTTGCTTATGTTAATTTATGAGTAATGTCAGCTTTATGAAAAAAAGAGATTCATTAGCCCCTTTGTGAAATAATTGCCTGCTTCTAATTCTCTCTCTCTCTCATTTTTTTTTTATTTACAGAACTCTTATTCAGAATCTGGATAGTTCCAACTCCTCCATTTGTGAGGAAGCTGCTGGTGAGCTCTTATCTGCACTCTTCCACTCTCCCTGTCTTAATTAAACCAAAGTGGTAGCGTTTCTGTGCAACTACAGCAAAAATCAAAAGATGACTATCATATAATTGAGCAGTGTCCAAATTCCCAAAAAGGGACAGTATCGTTCTATTTCATGACTTGCCCTGTCTCAAATCTCACACCCCATTGCAACCTTGACTGTGCAAAGCAACTGAGGGCACTTAGTTATTCTATTTGATATCTGTTTCAAGTTGTATTACTGGTTCCGGTTCCTGAAAACCAATATAGTCTTATTCAATTCAATGAAAGAACACTTTGTTTATCCCAAAGAAAAATTAAACATAATCTTAACTCAGATCAACCAGGAATCATCAAATAATCATTGCAGACTGTAATTTTTTTTCGTTGTTATTACCTCATCAAAAACATACCTCGGGTGTTGCTTTTGATTCTTTCATTTTTGAATTTCCTGTGGCAGACATTTAGAGTTCATAAAAAGCAACTATTTCCATAAAGCCACAGTCTCCAAGCCCAGCTTTTGCCTCACAGATCATCCCTCACAAACTACTTAGCTCCTCCATATTAGCAGCAGTAACAATTACCAAACACCTGGTGGAACTTCATGTCTGCTGAACTTGTCGTACAAACTACGTATTAGTCTGATGCTCCTAAAACTGACTGTCAACGGCATAATGGAGAAACATTGTTGTGATGATGTGTTGAAGGTGCCGGAGCTTCTTAAAAATACCGTGGCCAATTTGAATGTGTCAAATTGCACAAGAAAATTAAGTAGTTACATACAGCACTTTTATAATAACTGACGGCAACATAGTTACTTGATTGTGCTATAAATTTGCACTATATGCCTGGAAAATATATAGTATCCCCCTTTAAAGACAAAATTCTGAGGCAGTCAAAAAATATCAGTAATTATTTGATTAAAATTATATCATTTCATCATCAAGGCAAATTATATCAGTTTTTGTGGTCATTTTCTCTCTGCTACCACTTTGAAAGGGAGGTGGAAGCAACATGTTCTTTAGCAAACAGTATCAGTCAATAGGTGCCAGATCTTCAGAAACTGAAAATCAAACATTTGGACAGATGTGATGTAGTTAAATGAAAACAAATTGATTACCATGTCCTAGATATAGAACACAAAGTTTAAAAGAAATCTTACACTGAGCATCACCTTGGTGACACCATCCCCCTCTAGGAAGAAGGGATGAATCAAAGCCTGTCAGGGGCTGCAAAAGACTTGAGACTTGAGAGGGCAATGACTCTGACATAGTGTCAGTCTGGAATTGCAATTGCTGTGTATTATGGTTGTGCAACGTGGACAGGGCGGCATGAAATAAAAAATAAAACAAACATGTCTCATATTTCAGATTCCTTCAATTTTTTCTTTTTTGTCAAGTTAAATGTTTAAATCAAACATTTTAATATTAAAAACAACCAGATGGACTACAATGAGTAGTTTTCAAATGACGTCTTACTTATTTAAAGGAAGAGCTGTTTAATCTAATTTGCATCTATTTGAAAAAGTTATTGCCCCCCTACAGCTAAAATCTGGCTGTGCTTTCCTTTATGGCTGCAATTTGTAAAATTAGACAATGAGTCTTTTTCAGCATGGATATTTCAGCATGAACAGTCTGTTTTGGGCTAAGCACAACATCTTGACATACTGGAGTGCTTTGTGTCATTGTAAAGCTGCATTACTGCATCTTACTTTAGCTTAACAAATTGTTAGCAATTCATTTGCCTTCATTTTGGTGAATCTTGTAAGAGGCTCAAAAGAGTTGTCCATCTCTTGCCAGCCCAAAGATATTACCTTGTTTTGGCATATGAGAGACAGCATCAGTGGTTTTCGCCTCACATCCTTTTTGATGATGTTGCTTTTGCCCAGTGCTATGGGCCTTTTTGTGACCTTGTCAATACATTCTTGACTTTCATTAGTACCTTTTGGTTGGCTTAGTTTTTCTTTTTTTCTTTCATAAAAAACACAGCAGTGTTTATTTTTAAATCTATGGTGGAAAAATGTATTGAACATCGATTTATTCACTTCTTGCTTATGTCAGATATTTCACAATGAGATAATAACATACATGGGAAAAACTTTATGAAAACCTTATACAATAGCAGAAAGTGTGATGGACACCGTAAGAAAAGTTACAGTACTCAATTCTGCCACATGAACTAATCAGTACATTATTGCAAGACAACGCAAAATCTATTGGGAGGTAACGCAAAATACTGGAAGAGAATGCAAAAGTTTTTCCCTAAAGGGCTCTAATAAATAGAGTCATAATTTTAAAGCTTATTATCTCTGCGTAATATTAACATTCAATGGATGATATAAAACTTTTATTCATTGTAAAATAGAACAAATCTGTAAGGGGGGAAAATACTTTTTAATGGAGTATAAAATCTTCAAAATAGTACAATAACATTAAGCTGACAAGATGGAAAAAAGCTTAAGAGGTGTAAATACTTGAGAGATTTTTAAAAACCTTTTTTGACCTTGTATTAATTGAGTTGCTGAACTATTAATAGAATAACTTACTTGTGTTTCTACGCAGCACTTAAGCTGCGGCAAACTTCGCCCAGAGAGATTGTGGTGAAAGGAAGAAACACCACCGTGTTTCTGCCCTGCCCCGTTCACTCCTTTCATGCCACCTATCGCTGGGAGAAGGACAACTGCAAAAGGAACTACCCGTGCTTGTTCTCCGGAGACTTCTGCGTACTGGGCCCGGTTGTTAACACTCCCTTGAAGGAAGGTGTCTTCCGTTGCATGGCCACTGAGGACGGATTCAAGGTGGAAGTTGTTTCCTTCAGGCTGGTGAATGATGGCAGGCTCATATCTGCTTCATTTGCCTCCACCTTGGGCCTTTCAGCCCTGCTTGCTGTGTTGACCTTATGGCTTCATTAACTATAGCTAATACTGATGCTATCTTCTCTTTTGTAGTGGCTCCAACTGACAGGATAAACAAGGAGCCATTGTGGGAGTTAGGTTCGCATTGCACCGGCACTCATGGTTGAGTTGTGCACTGACAACTGAACCTTATTTTTTATTTAGGTTTTTATCAAGAACATATTATTTAAAAAAAAAAAAAACCTATCCTATCCACCTTATTTTTGAACGTGGAACTAAATGTAGGTCCAGCTTCTGGTTTTTCTGTGACCCTTTCATTTCTCCACTTTTCCTGGGCTGACTAAACAGCAGCTTAGCTAAACTAGTGAACGTTTTCGTGGGTACATTTCCTAAAATTGTTGAACAATCGAAATGTCAGGTTAGCACCCTCAAATGTTTCACAAGTGGGATGATGATATGAAGAAGTGACCTCATTTAGCATATGAGGACATTTTTAACAATTTAGTGTTGTCACTTGGTGCGGAGATGGCCAGGTGCTCCTGTGTCGCGGGTGAGAGGAAGTCCTGCAGTCATACATTGGTGATATTATGGAAGGTAGCCTAATAAATTGTCACTTCAGTGCATGCTGACTTACAAGATGTGTCTTTGTTGTAATTAGATTGCAAATCAGTTTAATTTTCTGCAAAACAAAAACCACATAAAACCATCATTTCTATCACTGCTCATTTAAATAATCATATTGCATTACCACTCTTAAGTAAAATTTTGATACGAATCTGATACGAGTAACTTCATTGAATAGAGAACAAGCATGTTTACCCAAAGATGAGGAAGACAATGAAACACACAGTTAAAATGAAAGCAAGTTTCATTTTGTTTGTAAGCTTCTTCTTCTTTTTCTTCCCATCTTACTGTTGAACTTGTGCCATTTACAGGTAGTGAATAGATAGTAAGGACAGTACTGTAAAGAGCACAGTCACGCATGTAATACACATACATACATACATACATACATACATACATACATACATACATACATACATACATACATACATACATACATACATACATACATACATACAGATCTAAATTTGTTTTGCAGTACTTTTTTGTGTATTTTCATATATTAAAATATAATATATTACATTTAAAATATATTACATTATATTGTGTTATGACCAGTTACTCAGTGTTTCAGAAGCTTTTTATCAGTATTTTTTAATTCTACCCAAGTCATTTCTTAGATCAGTACGTTTTACTTTTACTTAAATAAAAACATGTTGAAGTAGTGCTACTCTTACTTGAGTAAAATTTTTGAGAACACTACCCACCTCTGGTTAGGAAGAAAACATACATAACTAACAACTTCACATCAGCTTGAATAGCAGTTAAACATCCCTTAGCTTACCTGCTTGTGCTAACTTCTGTGAGATTTTATCTGAACTTCATTGCCTGGTGTTCTGTTGATCTTGTGTCCATAAAATGAAAAGAGCAAATCGACAGTTGCTCTCAAATTTAAAGCTTTTAACCACAGGCAAAGGGATTCCTCATCCTTTGGCAGGGGATGAAGGTCAGAGGGCACCAAACATCCACATACAGCTTTAGAAAGCAATTTGTGCTGCAGATATTTCTTTCCTTTGAACCAGTTACTCTCAAAGCCATAATGTTAAGTTAGTTATTATGAAGATGGTGAACAGTGAGTTAGCTAGCGAGCGACCGGAAGTGCCTGACCTGAAGTCGCACATAAAAAAAACACCATTCGTGTCCATATACCTGTTAAAAATAAGGTGGATATCTTGGTCAAAAATAACATATCTACAGCTGCAACTGATTGCATGAGAAAGAAACTATAAAGTACAGAACTGTGCTGAATAATAAGGTAATTCAACCATGATGTGGTGCTTTGCGAACCTTTTTTCTCTTACGAAAAAAGATTAACATATCCAGTGAGTTGGGCAAAAATACACCAATACCAGGCCAATTCTTTTAAACTTTTCTCTACATATTTTGAAAGTACCTTGATTGTGCTTATTTGTGGATATGTAAACCTTTAATAATGCTATTACATCTATTCATTCCTCTTGTTCAACTTTATTGTCTAAGCTCATTGGAACCCAAAATGTCTGGTATTAAGATTTTAAAAGCCTTAATACTTTTGGGACATGGACTCCTAAGCACAATTTTGCAGCTGAGGCTGAAAACTGCAGACTCAGTTGGATTTGGAGAAATGTTCAGTGCAGCTCAGTCTAACAATGTGGCTGGGAGGAAGTGACAGCTTTTAGATGGAAAGTAGGCGGATGGGCCTCGAACATCACTGTGTCTCAGCACTTCCTCCTCAGACTGGGCAGTTTCTGGCAATGTAACAGCAGATGGTTTCAAATATAACTTCGCCTTGTTCACAGCTTCGTGCATTGTTCTTTTCCTTTCATCATGCCATCGTCTCTCATTTATCCTGTCCTCATAATCTGTGGTATTCAATTAAATATCATTCTTATTTATAGTTAGGTCCACAGATAATGATCTTTTTAAGTAGATGATGGCATGTTACCACAATCCCTTAATGTGCGTCAAAATTGGGAAATTAGAAGAGATAGTTCCTGGTCAAAGAGGAGCAGTTTTCTTTTAAATGATTTTTTTTTCTTTATACAAGACCAGTGGCGGTTTTTGATATGGGTGAAATTGCTCTTTGCCCAGGTTGCCCTTTTGTCACGAGGAAGGTTGTCCTGTTCTCTTAGTTGCACCCAGATTGAGTTTTTGCTGTGTATCTGCATGTCAATGGGGATTGTTTGCCCTCCTATGTTGTGCACAGTTTAAGCACTGTGAGTAAACATGGCAATGTACCACAACCAGTTGATGATGTTCAGCTCCAAACTAAAGGGCTATATTGCTGTTTTTTCCTAATAACAGCTTTGTTGTCTCGTTCAAATCAGTTTTTACCTACTGATATTTAAAAAAATACTAACATAAGTACAGAGTGTTGAAAAGACTGACTTAATTGGTGAAACTTTACTTTTAAACAATAAAATATAGCAAAAAATGTAGGATTCATAGCTTTTTCAAAATCATAGTGAAATTCTGTTCCTGTGTCATGCAACATTTATGCAAAAACCGCCACTGTACCAGACAATGCCTAAAGTTGTGAGCACGATGTTATGCTGTAATTATTTCAGTAAAGATGCTTGGATAAACACAGAAACAGTTGAAACTAAGTGAAACCAAGTATTTCACGTACATTTTATATTTTTCCAGGAGAAAAAAAAAGGCTTACCTACTGACAATGTGTTTTGAATTTTCTTTTTCTCTGCAAATGCTGATTTCTACCATTGCTGCCTACATTTTTAAGCATTTGTTTTGATAATTTATCGATTTGAATGTGACACCTAACCACAGCAGCTGTATTTTTATATATTGATTTTAAATCTCTGAAACAAAAGGCTTCAATAATTCAAAGATAATTTCCTGGTCTGGTAATTTAAGACCATTTACTTTAATTGAGTGTAAGAAGTTCACAGTTGTGCTTACCAGGCCATCACAGATGTACAGGAGTATTTTTAATCGGTTTAAATCCAATCACTGCAGCATCGTATGTAATTTAATTTAATTTAATTTAATTTAATTTAATTTAATTTTTATGATTGTGGAAAAAAATTATGAAAGAGATGTATTGGAGTATATTGCTATTAAATACTAAAACATACTATTAATCATAAACCCTAAAACATTAAACACTGTGCTAAACCTTATACATACTGATTCTCTGACTAAATAAGTATTTTTTTAATGATGAATTATGCATTGGATAAACAGGGCCTCCATTGAGGCAATGGAGTACTGTCATTCACTAAAGGTACATGAATCGATCTGCGATCTGCCTTCCACAGTGGTAGAAATGTCATTAATTGTTAATCAGACAACAGAGCTAGCCCATCATGTTTTCTATTAAAGAATTTATTTTAGGCCATTAGAGATATGGGCTGCAATCTTCTTCTCCACTGTGAAAATGCATGTGTGTGACACAGCATTGTGTTCCTCATTTAGTTGCGTCCCCAGATGTGAGCCACTGACTGTGACATAAAAGGGTAAGAAATGAGAAAGCAAGGCATCTTCAAACACTGGTCACTTGGTGCTTTTTGCTTCATTTATGTTCATTTGAAAACTCCCTCCTTCCTTACGGCAAATAACATTTTGTCTGATAAAAGCCAAGCATTACCAGAACATTGGTCTTCCTTACAGGCAAACTCACGAATGACCACTTCAGGTTTAATGGTAATCCTGTGTGTTTTTCTTTGTCAGCACCATGGTGGGAAACTCACTCTAGCTTCCAGCCAAGTGCCACTCAACATTTAAAACAGGCTGTTTTACTCCAACCTTCCACAGAGTTTTGGCAAAAAATAAACAAAAATCATGGATTTGCTCGAGGCTTTTTTACAAACAACCTCTTTATGCTGCAATTTTAACTGCTGATTGCTGTATGTGTTTATGTGATTAGATTAGAGATGCTGTTATCACAAGATGCAGAGTAAAGTGGGATATGGGGTCCAACTTGGTGATTGAGCCTGGTGGAATAAATTTTCATGTATCCCAAAACTGACTATTAACATAAGCAAAACCTACTTGAAAGTAACCACTCTCTTCTATCATTATATGTAACTGTAGTTACAGTAAAAGCCCAAACAATATATGAATGACAATATGCGGTTGATCATTTGTTTGTGGTTACATTTGGGATAACCAAGCTTTCTTTTTCTTTTTTCTTTATAGAAACAATTGAATAGGACATAGGGGCATCAAATATCCAAATATGAACTATGTTATGCCAAGCTGAAATATTCCTAAAAATTATGTCCATTGACATTTAGCTTTTCAAGGGAGGCCATGCTTCAAATGGCTTTATGGCCTTTCAAATAAACCATATGAGATTAGATAACCTCATAATAAAAGCCAATACTTTTCCTCAGTTTTACCTCATCAGTATTACCTCTCTTTGTCACCAGTGACATACCCAGTACAGCAGTATCTGCTTTTTAGTTTAGGAATCAGGATACATAGTTTGTTTGCTCACATGAATGAAAGACATTATTTGAGGGTGGAATTGATTCCCCATTTTTATTCACCCAGAATATTTTTAGTACTTGTTTAAAGAGCCCTTCCTGGTAGGTTTAGAATATAAAGAATTTCCTGAACTTGGTGTCATCAATCAACCTAAGAAGATCATTTGAGTCATTCCTTCGATACGGATTTTGGCAGTTGCTACATTCAGATGACTTTATCACTTTTCTGGCATCTGTATTTGTCAGCCAGTTGGTTAAATGCTATTCTCCTTCAAAGCAGGCTTTTGATTTTTAATAAGGGCAGAATTGTGGTGGAACCCGTTATCTGTTGTAAATTAATCAGTCTTGTAGGCAGGTTGCTTTTTTGTTTGCTGTGGGGCTTTTGAGTGTCAAGTACTGTACATGATGTGTGCCCATGATTCTGTCTTGGTAGATTTACTTTTAATAGCAATGTGCCAAACTCTACTATATGAAAAAGAGATTTATACTGTCCTGGTGCCATCCCATTCTAATACCACTTCATGACATGTATTTTTAAATAACAGATATCTATAGTGCAATAGATATTCATGTAACAAATTCATATTGACATGTGTTTCCCTGAACATGTGCAGTGAAAATTAATAAAATTATAAGTAAAATGAAAATGATTTCTTATTTGTTTATTTTGGACTTTTTCCACACTTTGGGGCATTTGCAAGAATACAAGGTTTAAATGCTTTTTATGTGAACTTCTGCCTTGCATAGACTTTATTTGCCTACCAGGTTACATAAATGCATAATTCTGTAAATGCAAACCAATACATTTGTACTGATGATTGCTTCAAGCCAAATCTATGAACCAAAAGCCCATTTCTAACAGTAAAGATTTGGCATGTCTACACATGCCAAAATGCAAAATGGTGGAGGGAACTGATTGGACAAGCAGGTTGCACCATCTGCTGGTCAAAGATTGATGTCCTGATAAGACTTGCAAAATCTTGCTTGAGATATGTTTGGAATATGCTTAATCACAAAATCAAATTTTTGGAATCTTTATTTTTAATTATTCTATCCACCATTAAGCACAAACATGTTATGCTTAATTCAGGCCAGGGATTGGCCTGAATTTAGGGATTGAGATTATGTTTTTTAGACTATACTTATTGTCTTTATTCTTATTTTCCCCTGATTGTTCAACTGTTTACATGTAACTTTTTGCACCGATATTTAAATGTACAACTTTTGTCTCTCTTTGCATACATCTCAAAATGGATTCTGACACAGTAGAAAAAAGAACCTCAATCCTTTATGAGCTTTAATTACCTCCATAGATTTTTTAAGAAGAATCACATCCAAAAAGCAGCTTTGTCTCTCTTTTACTGTGCGTCACTCCTTTGTTGTCTTAGAGAAGGTTTGGGTTATTGCCATACTGAGAACCCTAAAATGACTCATCATCAGTGTTCTGACTAACAAAAAAGGTTGTTGTTCAGGATTTTATGGTAAAAAAAAAACCCTGCCCTGTCATTGACAACCCAATAAAGTAAAGTCGTTTACCGTGGCCAGAAAAATGTCTCCCCCTGAATGTCTTCTATAACTTCTGACCGGCTATCTTACCCCAGCCTTGCAGATATATAACCTTTTCACATTGTCATTTGACAGCTCTCTATGGCATTTTCTTACTTGCTGTCAAGGTAAATGGGGAGAAACAAACATCTAGTAATATGAGGAGTCTGAAAACAGTATTGATTACTGTTAGTGTTGACAAAGTGCTTAAATTAGCAAGTCAAATACTACTTTCACTAAAGGACATGCAAAATTGAAAAGCATTTTTTTTTTCCATTTCAATATTACTGTTTATAAAATTTAACTTGGAGCAATTTCTAAGGTAGAAAATGTTCAAAATTAATTTAATGTTCTAAACAATTTTATCGGTAAAAGTAGTAGACTTCCAGAAAAAAAAAAAATCTAAAACTTTTTCTTTTAAGCATGAGTCATTTTTCCAAAATTAACAGTGGAGGAGGAGAACCTTTGACTAAGTTTGAATAATCAGAGAAGTCAGAGCAGAATGAGAGTCCTCTCAAACTGTCATCATGAATGGATGCACGCTTGGAAGCAGTCTGGTTTCTAGTAAAAATTCTGCAGCCAAATGAGTCACAACATATGAAAAGTGATAAATGATGACTCAGCAGAGACCAATGACATTGTAAAAATAGCACATATTCCAAAAGCCACAAGATGAAGCTTAAAAAAAAAACAATGACAAGTTGTGCAAAGGTTGTTTTTAGTCATACAAGCAGCAATATGACTCCAGTGGACTTGAGTCAGCCATCTATTTCTCTCTGCTGACCGAAATATTAGAGAAACACTTGCTCGGACTTTCATAACATTTTTCAACTTCTCCAGTTGTTAAAAGAAGTTAGAAATTGGTAATCTTCCTTCCTATTTGACAATCCCCGGAAGGCAAAGGTTTTCACAATCAGATTCAGTCATTTAACTGAAAAGTGCTTGAGAAGTTGTCAAAAATAAGGAACGTGAAGTTGGATGTGTCTGAAAAAATTTTCCTTCTTCAACATGCACATCATAACATTACCCACACATGAAGATGATAGTATTGTGTACGTCGAACACGCCACCTGATGTTTGCCAATATGTCATTTTAAGACCTCCATTATGCTAACAGTGAGCGGTATCAGCCTGTAGCAATTTAAAGCTGTAAGATTATTCTTTTTTTAATAAAGCATTAGGACTCTCAACAGGTATAAGCTCAGGCTGAAAATGTGCTGTAAAACTTCACATAACTGGGTTTATTGACTGGTTCAACCTTCCTAAGCTATTAAATCCCTGTCTGCAGCTGAGGATCACTGGGCCGGAGTCGTGATTGGTCCGGAGATGGTCAGGTGAGATCGAGGCTGCAGGAGTTCACATTACAATGTTTACAATAGCTTCTTTCCTATAATCATTAGTTAGTCTTGTCTAAAACCTGTTTTTTTTTGTTGTTGTTGTTTGTTGTTTTTGTGATTAATATTCAGGGCCTTTCCAGGTGATGTAGCTGAAACAGAAATGTTACTTTTGGGCCTGTTAGGAGGGCTGAGAATCTTAATGATCTTGAAGTTCTGAGAGATTCAGAGACTGGTTATATTCAGTTATTAGACTTCATAATTTTACATGCACACAGAGGATCTGTAGCTCATTAAATGAGAGTCAGACTTTAAGCAAGTCAACTTTAAAACTTCATAGTGGATTATCCAAATGCAGCCGCTTTCCCTCTGACTTTTATTTCCTTCCTGCAATATTTAAATTCCTGGAGCCTTTACCCCAATTCGATAGCAGAGACAGATTTACTGTAAAAGCAAAGGAAGTTGAAAATTTTCCCATAGTCTCAGCCAATCTTAGGATAAAAACACTCTTACACCAGATCGATGAGCAGAACTGTTCTTAGCAATTTAAAGAGATGCAAAGTCTGTTTCATTTTGAAGTTAGATTGTGCAGGTTTTGTAGTACAAGGTTGCTCATTTTACCTTTAAAGGACTGAAAGAATAAACAAACATAATCTGGAACTGTGCCAAACACCACAGTACGGAGATCATCCTTTAGCCCAGGTTTCTCAACACATTTCTAAGTGTTGAGAAAAAGTCATGATAGAACGTAACAGCTGCCTTTACTTTTTGCCAGATGAAGTTCACTCTTAGAATCTGGAACAGTGGGAAGGAAGAAAAACAGTTCCTCCACTGGTACTTCCTACATTCTTGAGCAAGTCGCACACAGACTGAAATGGAAAAAAGACAGGCAGTGGGAGGGGGTGTGAGAAGGAGACATAAAAATTAAGTAAGCTGACAGAACAGAGCAGCTCCAGGCTAGCTCTTCCAGAGTGGAGTCACAAATAACCCAGCACTTTATGACAACACAGGTTAAAAACTGAAGAGAAGAGTCAGACTACCTGGTAAGTAGTATCTGATTTAGTTTGTTTGCATGGTTTAGAGAATCAATCTTAAAGTCTTAGAAAGTATCCCACAGCTAAGACAGATTTCATGCTAATGACGTTGATTTTTCTGCTTAGGGTGTCTTGCCTGTTATCATAACAAACAGAGAGATGTGAGACACTTTCTGAAGCGGAAGTTTACTACAAGGTAGATTTGTAATAGCACTGTAATACTCTATCTGAGCATGTTTTGTCAAAGCAGTGCATTGCTGCATGAAAATGCTTCCAAGAGTGTGCTGATCAAATCAAACTGAAGATTAAGTTTATTAATAGTTGGGGTCTAACCCTTGAGTGCTGACTCAAAAGAACTCAAAAACATGCGCTGACGTTGGATTGGCAACACACTTTGCATTTTTTCCTCCTAATCATTTATTTTCCACTGCTTCCTTTCAAAATGTAACATGCCCATATGATAACCAGCCATACATAAAAATCATTGATGTAATAGCTTTAATTAAATCATCTTTGACTATGTGATGATTTACAGGATTCTAAACTTCATAGCAACAGAATTCAATTTTTGTGTAACTTATGATCTGCTGAAAAATTGTGTAAGCATAAAAATAACAAAGCACAAATTCAATTAAACTTCGTTTGTGTTTAATTAAAATTATATTTACAGATAATAGGTACAATAATTTGTTGTGACCATATTCATCTGTTAATAGAAGTTATCACAGGTTCAGCTACCGGACATGTTACTTGCAATGGATCAGCTGGAAGTAATGTACAGCTACATGTGACAGAGCAGATGGTGATCAATTTATTGATTACATATTTGACTGTTAGTGTGTTCTGTTAGATTACAGTGTCACTTAGCTGCACTGACCCGCTTACAAGCATTATGGTCGATAAAACACTTCTTCACCTTTTATGGGCAGCTCATCTTGAGTAACTTGGGGTTACAGACTATGTTGCTCAATATTGCCTCAATCTTGCCAACAGAAGAGGTTTGCCTTTTTCACTTCTTCCATCCAAATCTGTTCTGCCCAGTCAAGAAAGACTGCAGATATTTATTTTTATGAAGACATGCTACTGATGACCTTTTTGGAGAAAAAACATTTTGGCTGATTGGATGCCTAATTCCTTGATAGGTGCATTTGGCACAAAGTTGGTACAAAGCATAAACCACCCAATAGAAACCAAAACCGAAAAATTCACAATATAAGGAAAAGTCAGAAAGACAAACACTTACTTTGATTTCACATTTGGGTACTGCTGAAAGATAGGCATTCTTTCTAAATGCTATTTCAAAAGCCAGCAAAAAAAAATGTCTAACATCCCATCACTTTAAATCCTTATCAGGGGACATTTATACTTCCTACATAATGTCAACAAAGTTTTAATTCATTCTAGCTAAAAATATTCTATTTTTTTTTCTACACCTCTATCTATAAATGTAGGTATAGATTTAATTTGGTAGGGGAAACTGGGCAGAGAGTACGCAGAATTATATAGATGTTTGACACAGAGATAAATAATAAAAGGTGACTTTATTGAGAGAACAAGGGTGATTTTATTGCACCACTCTGAAGTTTACTGGAAATGAAACTCAAACTTCCATGTTTGCTTAGACCAGAATCATTTCAATTCCAAGGCAGTTGCCTTAATAGGTTGAAAAAAAATTTAAACTGTTTTGTTTAGCCCTTTGCTCAGTCATTGGTTCATACATCCTGAGTTTACTCAGTGATTCATTGTTCATTGTTCAGCAACTTGTTAACACAAACACCATATCCCAAATACAATGGCCCATGATGAGTCAAATGAAATGGGAACTTTTTGTTTATTTTTATGGGGTGTAAACTTGAGTTTTATATTTTAACTTCACTTTTATTAGCTGTTTGAGTTTCCTAAATTTTTGCTGGGTAAGACTTTAAAAAACTGTCCAGAAACAAACCCTAAAATGTTGGCAGACATTTGTTCAGGGGGATTTTCCGCTGTCAAAATAGAATGAGCACAGGTGCAACAAATTGAACTGGCAATTTTCATTAAATCACTACTATCAGGCAGAACAATGAGCCAGACTGTGCAACTGCAGAACTCTGGCAGCTAAAGACAGAAATGGTATTAAGAGGTCTAGATATAGTTACCCCAATTTCACAAATTAATTGGTGTAATGAAAATTGATGACAAAATGTTACCTGAGAAGAGCTGCCATTTTGCCATAGCAACAATGAAGCAGTGAAACATTATATTTTGGAACAAAGCTGCTTTGGCTTATTGCACACAGTGATACTTTTCAAAAAGAGGCAATGAAACTTTAAACTATTTTCTGGCATACCAGACACTAAGTCTGCAATGTAAACTAGAGACATACACAGAATCTTGCAAAAGTTACCACATCACTTGTTTTTTTTACACTTTTTTCATTTACCCCTATAAAATCTGATAATCTTAAATGAAATGCAGTGCAGCTGACTGCTTTAAGAAGTCACTTTGATGATGACTTTATTGGAAAGAGAGTTCAGTTTATTTTCTGAAAATAAAATATAAAGACATAGCCTAAATCCATCCGAGAATCAACCAAGAGATCAATAGAAAGTAACCGAGCTGCAGACATTCATTGGTTAGGATGGAAAATATGTTGACAGGATAACTGCTAGCCATGCACACAGCAAACCTGGCTTTTGTTAAAAGAATAGCAAGATTAACGCTGTTGCTATGAGAAAGCAATAAGAAGTTGTATAACATTTGGCACAAACCATGCTGGGGACAACAAGCATGTGAAAGAAGATTCTCTGGCAACATGAAACTAAAATTTGGTGGAAAACTAACACTGGATATCACTCTGAGCATACTTATTCCGTAATCTGAAGGTGAAAGTCTAGCAATGAGAAGATGCTTTGCTACAGTACATCTGCAGACACCCATAAGAGTTGATAGAAGGATAGATAAACTGAATTCTGAAATAAATCCTGTTAAATATTTAAAAAGATTTGTAAATGGGTCAGAGGTTCAGAGTCAAGTAAGACATCAATGCCAAACAGAAAACCAGAACTGTAATTGAATGAGTCAATTAAAAGCTTATTTTGGTGTTAAAATGTCCGTGTAAAAATCTGTTTCATTAATCAACTTGATATGGAAGGAAGAACTTCAGCACATAAACATTTTGAGCTGTACAGGATGAACATCATTACCTGAAAGCTCAGTTTTCCAGTGTCTACCGGTGCAATGTAAGCGCAGCTGTGTTTGTGGATAGCATGTAAACACAGAACTTCAAGAAACCAGGATTCAGAACATCAGTGACATAAGTCTTCAGCCTTATTAAAGCTGGTCTGGCGCCATAATAGTGCAAAAACATGTCAACCCAAAAACTGTTTGCCACTGGCTTTTGACAACTAGATAACTGATGCATTAACAGAGATCTGGACTCTTTTAAGAATTCTTGAGAAATTCATCATTCTCATGTTAGATATATAAGAGTTTAATCATTGAAGCTTTTGTTTTTTATTCTTGCATAACCAGCAAATCCGTCGCTGGCATAACTATTTCAAATCTTAGACTTTATCCTCAGTGTAGTTTCAGAGTACTGTGTTTTATTTTAAAGTTTGGTTTATGCTGCTACAGGATTTGGTACTAAAATTTTCTCAAGCCACTCACTGGCACTTTATTAGGTACACACTGCCAGGTGGTCAATACGGGGTCAGAAACATTTCTGAGAATTTGTTCCACACTGACACGATGGCATCACATGTCAGTTGCACATTTGTCAACTCTACATCTATGATAAAATTCACTAATTAAGTTAACAAATATCAGATGTACCTAAAACAACAGCAGTGCAATAAAATGCAAATCAGATATTTAAAATTGTGCAATGTGATTTTCTCTCACAATTGATGATCTGTTATATGAAATGTTCATTCACCCTGTACATGTTAATTATTTTAATAAAAGGAAATAAAAAAACACTTGTACCAACATTCCCCTCACTCAATTCCTTAAGCTACTGGTTGAGTACATTTGCTCCAACAATTTATCCAAACTGTTTGCATTTGGACCAAACACTCAGCTCTGCTTGTCTCAAGTTTATAAATGCTAATGATTTTGGATGGAGGATGCAGAAAATATTTTTTTCAATAAAACAAAAAGTCCTGAGGTAATATTTTCTACATTAAGTTTTCAAGTTATCTTTGTGTATTCTTGGGTATTTTCTCCAGTAATCCATATTAAATTAAGGAACTTTTAAATTTTTTGAAAGGAACCTTAAATATAATTTTCCTGAAATCTTATAGCAATACTAACAAAAATAATACTTAGAAAAAGAAAGAAAGTCCTGTTTCAGTCTGGTAACCTGTCTAAAGTGTAACTTGCCTCTCGCCCAGTGACCCACACAGATAGGGACCAGGCCTTCTTTGACCTCACAAGGATTATATGGGTGTAGAAATGGCTTAATGAATGTTTCCCCTTTCATCAGCCAATCAAACTTCTATGTTATCGCCTTCTATTTAAGATGGATAAAGTTGTTCCGGGTCACTGGCAGTGTTACTCAACAAACTTATAAACATGACGTTCTCATCGCTATTTTTCAGTTCTCATCTCTATAAAAAAAGCTAATACATCTATTTGTCTCATGGAGTTTCCCTGTTATTCTGCTAGATAAGTTTGAAAATGAGAAAAACTGAACTTGGAAAAAAAATATCTTAATACAATCACATATGTTTTCTATGTTCATCACTATATAACTATATCTGCAACACCTGACCTATTTTAAACCTGAAATAAAGAGATATCTACTGCAGCATTCCTTTGCACATTCCTTTCGCAGATAGGCTTTGTTACGACCTGTCTAAGGGTGGCCAGATTACAACATGAAGGATCCAAAAATCCATAAAGCAGACCCAGACAAAAATAAATGTCGTGTCAGGTTAATGTCTAACCACTTGCAGAGCAAATCTTTTCCAAGAATTTTTTTTTTTTTTTTTTTTTATCATACCTAGAACTAAAACCATTGAGTTAAAAACTGAATACAACAGGAACAGAAAACATATTTGCCTTGAAACTGTTTGGCTTCTTATTTAGTGCAGTAAGCCAGTTAAGAGCACTGATGCCTTGTAGCAAGAAGGTCCTGGGTTCGATTTCTGCACAGAGTTTGCATGTTCTCGCTGTGCATGCGTGGGTTCTCTCCGGGTACCTCCCGCAATCCAAAAACATGACTGTTAGGTTAATTGGTCTCCTTAAATTCTCCCTGGGTGTGAGTGTGTGTGTGCATGGTTGTTTGTTCTGTCTGCCTCTGTGTTTCCCTGCGACAGACTGGCGACCTGTCCAGGGTGTTACCCGCTTTTCCCCTGGAACGTTAGCTGGAGAGAGCACCAGCACCTTCCGACCCCACTAGGGACAGGGGTGTACTTGTCTCAAGTTTCAAAATGCTAATGATTTTGGATGGAGGATGCAGAAAATATTTTTTTTCACAAAAACAAAAAGTCCTGAGGTAATATTTTCTATATTTTATATAAAAAAAAAAAAAAAAAAAAATCCCTTCTCACCCACCGCGGGTGGTTCTTATCATATATATATATATATATATATATATATATATATATATATATATATATATATATATATATATATATATATATATATATATATATATTCCCTTCTCACCCACCGCGGGTGGTTCTTATCATATATATATATATATATATATATATATATATATATATATATATATATATATATATATATATATATATATATATATATATATATATATATATATATATAAAAATTCCCTTCTCACCCACCGCGGGTGGTTCTTATCCTCTGAGCTCGGGTCCTCTACCAGAGGCCTGGGAGCTTGAGGGTCTGCAGTATCTTGGCTGTGCCAAGGACTGCACATTTCTGGACTGAGATGTCTGATGTTGTTCCTGGGATCTGTTGTAGCCACTGCTCCAGTTTGGGGGTTACTGCCCCGAGGGCCCCGATGACCACAGGCACCACTGTGGTCTTCAATTTCCAGGCCCTCTCCAGTTCTTCCCTGAGGCCCTGGTATTTCTCCAGTTTCTCGTTCTCCTTTTTCTTGATGTTGCAATCACTTGGTATTGCTACATCTACCACAACGGCTTTCCTCTGTTGTTTATCCACTACGACAATGTCTGGTTGGTTCGCCATTACTATTCTGTCTGTCTGGATCTGGAAGTCCCACAGGATCTTAGCTCTGGCATTCTCCACCACCTTTGGGGGTGTTTCCCACTTTGATCTTGGGGTTTCCAGTCCATATTTTGCACAGATGTTTCTGTATATATATATAAAATTTAGAGGAATTTACATTATTTTTTATTTTTTAAATGCTTGGGTATAAGTAATATCTACAATTTGCTCAACATTCCACAATATTTTTGGATTTTTCAATCATATTTTAGTGGACTCTTTATTGGAGTTACTAGTTTATCATATTTCTGTGTCTCTGTGTGGTCCAGCCAACAAAATGACTCACATTTTGATTATGGTTCCAGTTCTAGTCTACAACAACCCCATCCAGGCAGAAGTGTTTATTCAAGCTGTGTCAATCCTGGACCCAATAAAATGAGCACTGTTTGTTCAGGAGGTCATCACAAAGCTTTAGCTTTGTGATGACAAGTTCAATAATGTTCAATAATGTTCAAGTTCAAGAAAAAGGAGAACGAGAAACTGGAGAAATACCAGGGCCTCAGGGAAGAACTGGAGAGGGCCTGGAAATTGAAGACCACAGTGGTGCCTGTGGTCATCGGGGCCCTCGGGGCAGTAAAGAAAAACACCGAGGTGATAAAACAATTATTTAGTATCTCAGTGTCAGTACAGGTTTAGAACAGGATTAATTAAAAGTGAAAGCAATTGCATTCTTTGGTGATTTAAAGCATGTTTTAATTTTCTTTTTCAGATCTGTAACCATGATTGGTGAGTTGATCAGTGTCGGTGTTCTCCTTCTTGGAGCTGTGTCATCTCAATTTTCACCAGATCCATCTTCACCTTCCACATTGATCTCTGATGAACGACTATGTCGGATTTACAACTTTGGTCTGTCAGCAGACTGTCAAGGAAGACAGCTAGATTTTGTTCCATGGAGACAACTTCCAGTTACACTTGAAAGCATTGACCTCTCTTATAATGGGCTTCATGTTATCAGTGCAGCTGACTTCCAGAACTTCCCTCAGCTTCGCAACCTTCTGCTGCAGTACAACAACATTTCACACATTGCCAATGAGGCTTTTAAAAATAACCCATTACTGGAGTATCTCAATATTTTTAATAACTCATTACAGGAAATTCCTGCTTCACCTCTGACATCCCTCCCCAATCTGAAGGAGCTCTTCATGTCAAATAACCTTTATAGACATGCAACTTTAGCGGACAGTTTCTCTAAATTAGTCAGACTAAAAGTTCTGTCCTTGGGTGGCCCTTTGGTGTTGGGACTAAAAAAAAAAGATTTTCAGCCCCTGGAAAACATTCAGTTACAAAGTTTTGCCATCAAGTGCTCATCTAATTTAAGTTACTATGAGCCAGGAAGCTTAGCAGTCATCCACACAAAACAGATGGGCTTTGACATGGCGATCGATCAACGACCGGATGCTCTCCATCATATGCTACGTGATCTCGCCAACAAAACACTCAGTGCCATTCAATTCCGCAACCTGTTTGAATTCACATACTACAAGGGTGATGAAGACATTTTTCTGAACTTAAAAGACATTAGAGCATTTCAGCTCATCTTTCACAGAGGCAAGTTCAATGAAAATCTCCTGAAGATGGCATTATTGAACTTACAAGTGACTCCCATCAAACGGCTTAGACTTCAGTACATTGACTTTGCTCGTTCACCAACATTTGTCGACAGCGGAGCAGGTTCTAGCATAACCAAGCTGAGTCTGGATAACTTGGATCTTTGGTAAGTGTTTTCAAATACTATGTACAGATGTAATGTTAAAAAATTTTGGAAAATCTAAAACTAAGTTGGCAATATGAAGTGTTTTTTGATATATTGACTAAAACTAGTCAATATAATCTTTTGCTGACAGTCAAAAGCCCAACCTTTCATATCATCGCTGACATCTTCTTTACTATCATGGAGAAGTAAAAACTGTAGCCACATTAGTTACCAAAACATTTGCCCAATTGAATCACAAGCCCTAGCAAATTGTAATAAACTCAAACAGAAGACATTTTATGAAGATGTTACATAAGCACTAATACCTGAAGAAGCAAAATGGTTGGAGCATAATGAACTGAGTTTTCTTTTTTCAGAGAATGACAAAATGCTGGGATGCACAAATGCACACCACCGTACAAATTTCTTCTTCTTTGAGTTGGTCTATCATATAAAATGACATTAAAATACATATTTACATTCTTGTTCTTGATGTTGCAAAATTTGAGTTAGCTCAAGGGTGATGAATCTGTAGAAGGTACTAATAAAATTCTAAGTAAATCTGAATTTTTTACAGGTATATCAGCAATCCTGATGTGCTGCGATTTGACTGGCGCTTCACCTGGTTCAAGAGAATAAAGCAGCTCTCTATTCAGTATGTGTATTTCAACAGTGTGCCTTGTGACTCCTGGGCTGAGATGGAAGGTGTGGAGCTATTAGATGTTTCAAACAATCGATTGAATAATGATGTTCTCTACAACAAGCGGTGCAATTACAAAGGTTCCATGCCAAATCTTCTCACCTTCAACCTAAGCACCAATGAGTTGACCAGTCTAGGAGACCTATCATCTCTGACAAAGATGTTCAGGAAGCTGCAGGTACTGGATCTCAGCAACAACAAACTGGGAACTGCAAAAGAAAGTCGACACTGTGTTTGGACACAAAATATAACTCGTTTCATTGCACACCACAACTACTTTTCAAGCGAAGTATTTCATTGTCTTCCTACCACTGTTTCTTACTTGGATCTGTCCGACTGCAACATGGACCAGCTGGACTTGACCTACTTTAAGAAAGCCATAAACCTAAAAATTCTGTTACTGAGTGGGAATAAAATTAAGTTCATCCCATCTAAGTGGGAGTCCCCATCTCTTCAGTTTTTAGCTTTGGATGGAAATTCTTTTGGACTGATAAGTAAGGCATCCTTTCAACATATGCCTCAACTGTCTCAGCTCAGGGCAGGAAACAATCCTTACCATTGCACTTGTGAGCTTCACGCTTTTGTCCAGGAAACCATTGCAATTGGAAAGGTTAATCTCACTGACTGGCCATTGAATTACAGATGCTATCACCCAGAATCATTCCTCAATACCTCAATATCCAAATATTTTCCTGGTCAAGTAGCGTGTGACATCAGACTTGTTATCATCATTTCTGTTGCAACCACTGCCATTGTGATCTTGATATTTGTTCTTATTTGCTATATTTTTGACCTCCCCTGGTACACTAAAGCCACGTATCAGATCATACAAGCCAAATACAGAGCACACAAGGAAAATCTAGCAGGGGAGATTGGGAACTTCAACTACCATGCCTTCATATCCTACAGCCACTCAGATGCTGACTGGGTGAGGGACCAACTCTTACCCTGTTTGGAGAACAACAAGAACCCCTATCGTCTATGTATTCATGAACGGGACTTTATGCCAGGAAAATGGATCATTGACAACATAATTGAGAACATTGAAAGCAGTCGAAAGGTAAGAGAAAGTACGTTTGATTTCAGTTAAGAACAGTAAAGGAAAAAACAAAAACCCGTATCTGCTTCTTGATAGCTTTGCAAGAAAACAAAGTGACCAGGCAGATTTGTTCTTAGCAAAAATGCTTTGAATCAAGGAATGTGAAAATAATGTAGCAATATTACAAGCTAGTTTATTTTCTCATATTTTTAAAATTTTACTTCTTAAAATTATTGTTTCAGCCCTTCACAGTTTCAGACGTCAGGTAGTCAAAATCACATTTCATGAAATGGCAATGATTAGAGTTCAGTGTCCTGCACCAGCTAGATGTTTCTGAAAAAACACACATACACACACAAAAATACTCCCAAAAAAACTGGCAACCAATTGGTTCGTTACCAACTGGCAACACTTATTTTAAGATGATGCCAGAGAAAGTACTGGAGTGTCCACAGGACCACAGTGCTGTTCTTCTCTCCCCCTGTGACTGCATACTGCTGATAAGTTGGCTGAATGAAGGCTTCTACAAATACATCATTCAATCAGAACACATGTAAACAGAGTAATTTGTAATTATGTTCAGTCAAAAAAGAAATTGTCACAAATACTACAGAAACTAAAGAAGTATTAGCTATCACTCATATTAAGGTGACTATGTTTAAAAGTTACAGTTGGAAAAATGTAATCTTTATGCTTGTTCAGAGGCTTTCTCAGAGCTATCCAAGCACTTAGCCTATGTTGCATTTTATTTATATTCAGATTTGTCAAATTTCAAGTCAGAAAAAACAAATATCTTAGGCCAAGAAGTCAGAACATGTATTTTTATTTGCTACATTATTTTTGTAGGTTTCTTAAACCACATTTATTTTAACCAAAAGTTTATTACATTTAATGTTGTCTTTTCCAGGTTATTTTTGTCCTTTCCCGGCACTTTGTGAACAGTGAATGGTGCAACTACGAGCTGTACTTTGCTCAGCAGAGAGCAATGGGAAAGACCTTCAGTGATGTCATTCTAGTGGTGAAGGAACCCATTGATCCAAGTTCCTTGCCCAGCAAATATTGCAAGCTCAAAAAGATGCTGAGTACCAAAACATACCTTGAGTGGCCCCAGCAGGTCAACCAGCAGCCATTTTTCTGGGCACAGCTGAGGAGTGTTTTGGGTAAACCTACAATGACTCGTGAGGGGACTAACAGCATCAGGAGTAGAGACTCATCTGGACGATTCTCAGGAGCTTATTAAAACTCTTGAGAGTTTGGGCCCATTGTTGAAGAAAGGACATCAGGACTAGACAAACCTCTTGAACTCAACAAAAAAGAAATTAAAAAATTAATTATTCACAGAATTGAAATTTAACTACAAGATCAAATAAATTAAAAATATCAAAATATAATGCGGCTCACATTTCCACAATGTCTTTTTGGCAAGTACTTGTTCATCTTGATAGAAGGATGATTATATGAGTTGTTTTACAGAGAAATCGATCATCAGCCCTGTGAAACTGATTTGGATTTTGACTCACTGGCTCCCCCTTGTGGTCATTTGAACTTTTTGCTGTGACAATAAATACTGTATTTGTTTTTCATTGATTCATTTACTTGACCTCCAAATGTCACAGCAGATTCAGTAGATAGACAAATTTTGTTCCTCAGTCACAAAAATAAATTGTGATGTGTGAAAATGACAGAAATTAAAAACTTGTTATACAAACAAAAATACATCTATAATTCATGTCTAATACAAATCTTGATCAAGTCCAACTGCACAATATTTTAGAGCTCTTTCTTCTTCTGACAAGTTTTATGTAGATTTAGTTTTCCAGCAGGACTTGGCATCGACCCATACTTGGTATCAATGCTTGCTTGAATAACTATGGTACTGGTCAGCAAACTGGTCATGCCTGATAAAAACTGATGAAAGTAAGATAGATTATTCACCCTCAATAATAGACATTGGCTAAACACTGATATTAAAGCAACCTTGGCTCTCTGAAACCCATCAGCAGAGTTTTTTTTTATGGAAAAACAATAAAACACTGCAGATTTATTGAATGTACATATAGAGCATTTTCTATATGTGCATTATTAAATCAACTAAAGTATTACTACTTTAGTTATACTTGGACAATACATGACTTAAATTGAACTAAATACTTACAAAAAATATCAAGATAGATTTGTACCTTATTGTACATCTTATTCAGGTTATTTTTGTAATATAATCTGATATTTAAAACCCGTTAAAAAACAAAACGCTGTGTTTATGTTTTCATGACTTTAAAGGACATAGCAGCAGATGGAAAGCAATGAGCTCACCAGCTGTGTTTGTTTTAATCTTATTGAGGATATCAGCTCCACTTTAGCTTGGTTTTCCTGTTATAAAATGAAAATATGGAAATGTATATGAAACCTTTACACAGAGGCCAGTGATGCAAATACTGATGCAAATGCAAATGCTTAAGGGTTTGAACAGCACTCAGTATCCTTAAGGGAACACTAAAAGTCGCTTATGTTGCAAATTAAAGGAAGCCATTTGCAAAACAGGATGATGTAATGAAATGAGTCATTTCATAAATTGTTGTTGTATTTTAGTAATGCATTTTAGTAATGCATTTTAGTAATGCCTTGTGATTTAATTTAAGAGAACCCCACTACAATAATATTGGAGCATAAATCTTGTTATGAAATTAACATAACAAAACCCCAAAGGTAAAATCTCCAAAATAAACTTGTTTGTGGATTAATGTTTTCATATTAAGAAAATTGTAAACATTTAAAGCAAGGAAAAAATAACATTCAAAATAATTACTTCCCTACAAAAGAGGAAAAACTACCTCCCAGGCAAAATAAAAATAGCACTATATTATGTTGGTAATGTTAACGTTCTTGTTCTAACAATACACTTATCATACAATATACTATTTTATTACAAGTTATAAATATGTTCATGATCATTCTATACATTTATAATGTAAGAATTTCATAATTTATCACCTTGCATGGGTCTGAAAATGTCTCTTGGTTATTAGAAATATAACCCGCCTGAATGTAGTTCAGGTGGTGTAGTTTGGAGCTTCCTCTGCCCCTCCACTGCTATCTCAGTGGGATCAGACTTATTATTCCTCCTGGAAAGCACCGTCTAGCTTAACGTTCTTCTCAGTTTGCACATGGTTATCAAGTTGTTCAGCAGCAGCAACATTTCTCCTTGGCTCAACTCAAACATCAAATAGAAACAGGAAAGCTTGAAATAATTCTTGAGACCAAATCATGATCATGATCATAATTATAGAGCAGGAAGCTTGAAATCCAATCACTCGATAGTGATGTTAAGGCTGGTGCTGAACAAACCTTTGTAATACCAGATCTTGTCATATTGTGTGGTTTGTTTGTATGTTGTATCTGTGTGTTGTATCTTTGTAGCATTACACAATCGGTAAAGTCTCTCCCAAGGGCCCAGGTACCAAATGTATGGCCCACCACTTTTTATTATATGCAGTGTGTATTGTAATAACATAATAGTACATTGCACAAATGTATATTTTCATAGTAATAAAGCTTACAAATTATAATATGACGTAGTTCTATTTTTTCCTCTTCGCTGCAGCTCTGTGCCTCCTCAGTTATCTGGGTGTATTCATTGGCTGATAAAAAGTAAAAGTAGTTTGTTGGTTAGAAACTGCCTTAAATGGCCTTGCAACGCACCTGTGCAGCAGGGACTGGTGCTTCTCTGCGGAGGGAGGTGCTTATCTGATTGTGGCTTGGACAGGCAGCACCCCATATAAACTGATGAGAGGAAAACTCAGCAGCAGAAGACTCTTTGGTCAGGAACTATTTGCACCACGATTCAAGTAAGTAAAATGCCTCCTCTGTTTTTATTCTTTCTTTTCATGTGCCACTGCAACTGGAGACTGCATCAGTTCATGTTGAGGAGCTTAATTATCACCAACGCTGCACTTCATAGTTAGAAACTCTAATTTGTTCCTCGAAGCAGTCAGGAATAAATAATCACCATTATTGCAAATAACTAGCAGGAATATTGCATAATTCAGAGAAGCAGCATTTTAGCAACTTTCCACTCTGTTACCCGAGTTTGAACACACACTCACACTAGCAGTTATCCATTGTTGATTGTTCCATCATTTAAACTGAAATAAATAATAATGATGGAATTATGATCAACCAGCATGTAATTATACATATCCATATATATACAATTTTATTTATTTATTTATTTATAATCAGTTTTACTTTGCAAGTTGCCCTGCAGGGGGTCTGGGCTTTGTGTTTCTTGCTGATGGGAGGTGAGATGACCCCAGTGTCCACTTCTCGAGTGTCAGACTGCAGGGCTGATGTAAGGTTAGACAGTTAACCTATTGTGACTTTACTTGACATCAGTGACCCTCATTCAGATCCCTTAAATATACAGATGGAAGTTTGATAAAGGTGTTAATTCTGTGATATGTACTGCCTGAATGTAAACTTAATACTAGCTGCTAGAAACTGTAATGACAAAAAAGCTGCCAATACTTGCATGTGAAGGCTCATTTCTTCACCTGATTAATCAAGTCTAATATTTGCTCAATATTATTTCCCTTCTGTTATGTAGGAAACTAATTACCCACTGTGTGATAATTGGTATCTTGTCAAAATTGGCTAGAGCTGCATGTCAAGATAACTTGAAGTGAAAAGGCATTTAAGTTACTACTATACAGATACATGTCAGAGTAACTTAAGAGAAATTAAGAATATCTGGAGAATTTGTTCTTTTCGACAAGCATTGGAACACAATTGTCTACATTTGAACGGTTAAGTTGTTCAGCTACAGCCTGGAGTGCATGGATACTATAGATCACAAATTAATGCTAACAACTAACTAACTCCTTTGCAGTTGGTGCTCCATGCAGAGAATATAGCAGCATATTTCTCTATTTGTTCGTTACCCTCCTTCCTCTACCAAGATAAAAGTATTCTTAATATGTCTTCTACTTCCTAATCACAGGACTGCAAAAATGTCTTCCACTCTGCAAGGAGCCATGGAAGACCTTATCAAGGTCTTTTACCGCTACTCAGGAAACGAAGGTGACAAGTACAAGTTGAACAAGAAGGAGCTAAAGAAGATGCTCCAGGAGGAACTCTCCGAATTCCTGAATGTGGGTTTGACAAATAAAAAATAAAAATAAAACTACCAATCTGTTTTCAAAAGTGCTAAAACTTAACTTTGACACAGTCTTTTGACTTTTATTTTAACTTGGATGTTACAGTCCTAAAATAAAATGGAATCAGAACAAGCAGCTGGGTAATGAGATGTTAAATTCTCAGGAAATTTTCATTCTTGACAATGGTGGGCTGAAAGTGACACAAATTTTATTTGTATAGCCCTAATAATGTGTAACACAATCTAAGAAATTATATGTATAATTAAAACACTTTTTATTTGCAATATTGCATTCACTATGTCATTATTGAAATACACTTGATGAAGACCATCCATATGATTATGATTGGTAGACTGTATCTCTAGGCCTACATTAAAATGTATGTTAAATTAATCTAGTAATAAAAATGCGTAATTTAATCCTTTTGTTCCTCAGTAAGGAAATTCAAACTTCAAAAGTTATCAGAGTTGTAACTTCTTACAAACTAAATGATCTTGGAATGGATTTTTCTTAAGGTTTTCTGTATCTTGTGTTGAGTAAAGACTGATGACTTGTTTTATTTATTTATTTTAAGGGTTCAAATGATCCTGCAATGGTTGAGAAGATTATGACAGGCCTAGACGACAACAAAGATGGCGAAGTGGACTTCCAGGAGTTTGTGGTTTTGGTCGCTGCGCTGACTGTGGCTTGCAATGAGTTCTTCGTGGATTGTCTTAAAGAGAACAAGGGCTCAAGCTAAGCTGGAAAGTTGGTTCATTGAATATAACAGGATCTACAAATGTGGAAATGGTGTATATCCTCACAAATAATTTGCATTTACCTAATCATCATTGGTCTGCCATCTTTAATAAAACATAGTGTTTAACTTGTGTCCATGAGTCTTTTTGGATGAAAAGCAACAACTTGTAAAAACTTGGTCTGTACCTTTTTCATGCATTTCCATAGATCTGAATGGGCTTTGATCCTAATGGAAACTGTGTGCACCACCTAGTGTAAGAGAGAGAAACTCTTCTCTGCTTCTCAGTATAACACTCCTAAGAACAGTTGTTAATGGAGAAACCCTGTTGCCAAAGGTGCCTTCTATGACAGGCCCCAATTATAAAACAAGGTATGCATAACAAACCCCATATTTGTATTTAACATTTTTAAAAACTTTTAGGCTTGGTTAAACAAACCCAGTAGTTATCTTACAGTTGCATACCAAGTTAACATGTTATGCAGTAGGGCTGGTTAATGCTGTTTAACGCTTTTTAGGTTAATACAATGTATTCAACAGAAATCAAATAACTGAAATCTAGTCACATTTCTCTTTACATTTACTATTAATATGAAACACTATTTTGTTTTAAATGCAATCTATGTATTGGAGATATTTGAAAGCAGTAATCTAGTCATTTGGAAAGACTGATTTGGTGATACTATTACTAAATATTGCCATGCTAATGCTGTTACTAATAATGCCATGTTTTGATTTCTTTCCTTTTAAACATTTTTTTTTCAATTTTTTTATGCTTTGCCATAGATTTTCCATAGATTTTAACAAAGTACAAATTGCTGTGTAGTTGAACTGATCTAATCTTCACCTAAACAAGGTAAAGAGGCAACAAATTTAATTTACACATGTTCAGACTGGTTTGAATCATAACTTGTAAATGTGTACAATAAAAGGGCTGTTTTGAAAAAAAATTGCAATAATAATACTACTAATAATAATAATAAAAAAATAAATAATAATGATAATAATAATAATAATAATAATAATAATAATAATAATAATAATAATAATGAATGGTTAATGAACAAGAACTATCTCACTAAGTGACCAGCAGACGGCGACAAAGACTGTATGCTTACCAAAGCCGAAAACTTACGTTGTGCAATTAATACAGTTTTAACAAAAAACTAACACGCTACAAAAATTTCTAAAATAATTTGATGAAGTAAACTAATTGCCATCTCACTGTTATAGTCATCTACGTAACGTATTAATATCTACTATATCTGGAGATGAAATAGTAAAGCAAAACATTTTTTTTTTCTTATTTTTTTTAACCTACAAAGTTTGTTTTCTGGTGGAATTAAGGTCACTTATTTCCTAATGACTTTGTTTTAGTCGTTTTTATGCTCTTTTTCTGTATTTTTTGTTTTGTTTGTAATTATTTCCTTTTTGTTGTTTGTATTTTAGAAGAATATTGATTTTGAAACTAATTTTACTTGTAGAACTCAAGATTGGTACAGTTCGACCATAACAGATACTTTACAGTTTTTTTTATTGTGTGTGTCTGACATCTGTTGTGCAAAACTATACTGAAATATGTTCAGAAGTTTTCACATACCCAACTGAAAAGTTACTGAGTGAAGTCAAAGATAATTCACAGAAATTTACTGACATATTTTAAGCTTGATTAAAAATGTACCTTCTCATTAGTAAAGTTAAATTGAAATGTAATTTTATTTTGACTGTGTAGAGAAAGTTATTAGACATGCCTATAAATGGTTGTAATCAGCCATAACCGTGTAATTAAGTCATACTCAAGGGTAAACATCTCGTTCACTGTTCCTTGGCCTAATTAAAAGCCACACTGAAACCTTGGTTCAACCATCTGTGATTTGTTTCATTTACATGCAATAATTTGTTCACATTATGCTAGTTTGATAAACTAATACAATTCTATTTAAATTAAACAAAAACAGCATATTAAACATTTTTATATAATTTGTATGAGCTCCTGTCTTTGCAGTAAAAATTAACTCTCCAAGATTTTTTTTGTTGGACTGTGGCTGGAACCCTCCAGCATATTAATATGATACCCAATCAAAAGAAACATATCGATCAAACTCACCTACACAGCCACGGGAAAAAGAAATGGATAAAAATGAAAAAGAAAAAAAATGTGACATTCAATAAAAACCATTGACATTATTTTAGCTGCATAACCCAAATGATAGAATGTTTCTGACAATAACACAGAGGTGAATAGTTTGATTGTTTTAAAATCATTGTGATTTTTTTTAAATTAAGGATATAGATTTAACAAGAAAACATTATTTTAATCTCACCTGTTATTAAGCAGTTTGTTTTTGAGATCATGACATCTTATAGTAAACTAACAGTTGTTAATTTAAGAAAATTCAGCATGAGCAACTAAACTCATGCTGAATGTCTCTTACCATTACTAATATAATGGTAAGAGACAAACAATTTTGCATACAAAAATATCAGTGTTAAGCTACAGAACAGTTTGTACTTAAAAGGAATAATTTTCAGAAAATGTCGCTGTATGAGTGCATTTTGCTTTACTACAAATAGTTTTTTATTTCCTCATGCATGTGTTTGCTTACAATTTTGCATTAAGCTCATGCAGAAAGCTAAACTATGTACTGATCCAGTTACCCATTAACAGACTGACTGGGTGATCTTGTATTACCTTCCTTCTTTTGTTTGAGGTCAGACCTTCTTCTGCGGTTTTACTGCTTCAAACTCTGCTTTGTGATATAAAAGTTTGTGAGCAGGAGCAGCTCTTTGAGTCTGAGAATGATCAAAAGTAACCACAGACTGAGGCTTGATTATCCATACAAGAGTACGTGGACAGTCGGGGAATCAGTCATTCTTACTGCGCGGCAAATTTTTGGAACGTTGAGTGTTTTTGTGAAAAAACAGAATGTGGACTGAGCAACCACATACAGCACCATAACACAAAATAAGTATGAACTCTTTGAAAAAAGTTGGTATTTGCACATCTTAGTTCTTAGGAATGTGCCATTTAACCATCAAATGGGTTAATTGAGATGAATAATTCTTAAGAGTACACTGAATAACTGATGAAAAAAAAAAGTAAATCAAAATATCAATAAATAAGGGGCAACCCATTCAAATCCTCTAGCAACAAGAAATCAAAATGGTAAAAAGTGAAGCATCTCCTCTGGGACAGATGGAAACTTTGACATTTGGAATCTGCTCCGTGTTATCAGACGATACTAAGACTAAAACTACTTGAAGTGAAAGAGAGTTATCAGGGAATCCCTCCTGTTTGCATAGTTTCTGCAGTGAAAGATGGACTTGGACAAGCAGTGATAGGAATTAAGTCAATGTTTACCTCTCACCTTTCTTATCGAGGTGGAAGTTTGCCCTCTACCAGACAGAGTGCCTCCTCCTCCCCTTGCCTCTCACTTTAGTTTTCCAGCTTTTCTCTTCACTGCATGTTCAGCTGTTGAGCAACACACTGATTACGACAATGTGTGAGAAGTAGAAGTTGAAACCGCAAGGAAACAAAATTCCATTGACATAACATGTATAACATTTATATATGTATTATGAACTTGCATTGTGTTGGCACCCATTAACCTTTTCCACCAAGGTTAGACCTAATCCTGAATGTAACGCATATTGATACCATATGTTTCTTATCTTTCTTTCTGCCTCTGTCTGGTGACTCATCTCTCATTTATGTCCAAAGCAGGCATTGTTGCTTCATAAAGGAACTCCACCTCAAACATTGCAGATATACATATGTGTTTGCATAGCGATTATGTGGGTGTTCTGGTTGCACTAAAAGAATGCTTGGAGATAAATAAATTTCGTTACCAGGAAATATGAAAGATTCAACTGAATAACAATTTCCAAGTCAGAACATTATAACTTCTTTCTTTCTTTCCTTGATTAAATAAAAAAGTGCTTTAGTTTGTCAGTGAGAAGATCAAGAAACATATGTTTAGTAATTATTAAACATATGTTTAATAATAGATATAAACAAATATTGTTTAATATCTATTAAAAATAAAACAAAAAATAATAATTTTTACCTGTTGTTATTTCTTTCAGCTTTGCATCTTAAAATTGGAAACAATTGGTCTAAGCCAATAGAATAGAATATAATGGACTAGTTAAGCCTTTTTTTCATTCTAAGCGTCGCAGCAGGTTCTATTTATTTTGCCATGTAATTTAGCTATTTTCTTACAAAAATTTTAAATACAGTCTTCAGTTTGAGGGAAATTCAGTGTTTTAATATTAGAGCTTCATTTCAACTCAGTTCAATACAGTTTATTTTTCATATTGCACCATTTCATAACAAAAGTCATCGTCAGAACATAGCTGTCATGTCTAGCACCAGTTTTCTCCAGATAATATGAGATGAAGACTGTTAATAAGACTCGAATCCCATGCCTCAATTCTACGCCAAGTCTGAAGTCTTTTGTGAATTAATTTAAACCAAAAATGGTTCTAATCTTTTAGAATTAACATGTGACAACTAAAATTTTATTGCACTTGACTAAAATATTATTTCCCCTGCTGCTCCAAAACAGCATCTAACACCAAAGTATGCTGAGCTGTGATATATGCAACACTATCTAAGTCTCCTCAGGTGTTTTACCACACCCTGTAGTACAATAATAAAATGTGAAATTATGTAAACAATAATTTAGTTAATTTTTCAGACGGCACACAGCCTTTCATATAAAACATGAAATCTTTCCTTAGCACAGCTTCCATGACTTTGAACAGCATTTGGATTTTGTTCAAAAACGCAAATTCTGATATGGAATATTTTCTCAATTTTTCTCAATAACTTTTCATAGTTTATTCCCTTTGCTCTTACTAAAAATAAATCAAAACAGTTGTTTTGGCAGTACCAGTTAGCTTCCCTATAACTAAATGTAGAATAAACAGAAAATAAATGATGGTAAAAAATATCTGTGCCAATCTGCACATGAAACTGGGGCAGAAGATGATGCATGCATTATTCACTCGACCACTCATCACCTTGACTAAATATAACAATTTTAAGTCTGCCATTCATGATATTATGTCATTCTCATCAACTACAGACCCCTCTCCTTTTTACGTCAATTGTGCCTGACTGTTTCTACG